TTTTAAAGTTTTTCCATTTTCATTTAAATATCATTGAATTTAAATTTAATTTGGTAGAAAAGTTATTAAAGATATTTAAAAACTAAACCTGGAACCTCAAAACTAGAGAATTTAGCCCATTCAGTAAATATTCATTAAGTAATGAATTGGTACATGCTGCCTTTAAGAATCTTCAGTCTGGAGGGGGAGATGGATATACAGACAAGCAATTATTATTCCGTTTAATAAAATCCATAGTGAAAGTGTGCAAAAGGTTTGGTGAGCATAATAAATAACAGGTGCCTTCCTTTGTTTCTGGGGAAAAAGGAGTGTCAGGTAAAACTCCACTGAGAAGGAAACTCTTAAGCTGAAACTTGAAGGATGAAGAGGCTTTTGCTGGAGGTGTATGTTGGAATAGGAAATCAAGTTTGGGAAGTAATATCATAACCCATCAGAGATGAGCTTCCTGTAGTAAAGCATTGACAGATGATTTAAGAATTTGAGTCAAAGATCACTCTAAATTTTATATCATATAGTTAGAAAGCCAGTCCTAACCCACCATTGCAGTAAGCCAAATTTCCTAGAAGCCCAGACTGGTTTGATATAGATGGCAAACAACCTTAAGTCCTAAAATGAAAATTATATAACATGAAATAAAAATGTTTATTATGTTTGTTTATATCACAGGCATTTTAAGTTATTCTCTGTCACCTTCCTTTCTGTTAACAGTGTAAAATTATCTTGCTCTTACAGTACCTCCATATAGGTATATTTTATTTAAAGTCTATGTCCAGTAAACAGTAATTCACAATTAAGTTTATAGATTTGGTAAAATACACTAAATCATTCTTTCCCAGTATCATTATATTTTTGCTAGGCCATTTTCATGTGCCTTTGTACGTTGGAGCATACAGCCAACAAAAATTACTTTCTGTCCTATAATAAAGTGTGTGACATAAAGCTTTTGTTCATTTCTTTTAATAAAAGTGGTATTGCAATTTTGACTCTGAAGCTTCTTTTTTTGTTTTTTGAGTTTTGGTGGGTTTTTTGGTGTGTGGTTTGTTTTGAAGCTTTTTTCTTTATATTTTAGAGTAAATAAATCACATAAGAATAAGAAGCACAAATTTACTTCGATCACTGTGAACCCTAAAGATGTTTTCTTAGTTATGTTAAAGAAGTGTAACAATTTTAATTATAGGACTATGGTTTTAGTCTCTTGTTAGTGCTTTTATTTGTAATGTTTGTATTTTTCATAAAATCTTTGAGCTTTTAAGATTATGGAGAGGCTGGTATAGTTGGTATGAAAATGTAGAATGTTGTGATTCATTTCTAAGTACTACTGTGTGCCAAAGACTAACTTCTAAAAATTACAAAGCTGTTTACTAGTTTGGTTTCCCTAGGTCTCATCAGTTTGTGGTTACAAAAGGAGTCTGTTTTCAAACCAGTCCTGTTTGTTGTCAGTTCTTCCCCAAGAAGCCATCCTGAGATTTTTTCTACCTTACCCACTTTTTTTTTTAATACCTGTGACTTTAACATATGCTCACAAATTCAGACTGAAAAGAGGTTTTGAATTTCATACTTTCATAGAATATGAGTTTTTTATTTTTAAATAGTTTAAATTTGTGTGTTTCCAAAGCATAGACGCTACTTTTTAGCAGGAATTAAAATAGAATTAGGGTGACTAGAATAGCGTTAATCTATCTTGGTTTCTTTGCCCAGGGCAAGATGGAATCAGAGGAAAACGAAGCAGGCTAGCAGCAAGGAGTTAAAGGTGTGAATGGGTAGTCTGAGATGACAACAGGAAATGTAATGTGTGCCAACCCTGGCATGTAGCCTTGACCTAGTAGTGATTAGGAAGTTCAGACTGTATTTCTTTCTCAGTGCCATGAATTGCGGTTAATCCTTGCTAGAAAAGCATGGAATACTTGAACCTCACACTAACAGTATAGCTGTGCAGTTACTTTTGATACCATGTTTGTTTAGACTCCTTTTGAAAAGAGAGGTGTTAGTGAAACATAGATTTTCTTTTAAAATCTGCAATATTGAGATGGAGAACTGACTATAAAGCAAGTAAAGTAGGTAGGTGGTTTTAAGCTTCTTTACATCATGAAAAACCAATGAAACCTGTGCTCACTCTCATCAGAAAAATGCACATGTTATGCAAATTTGCATACAGTTTCAGAGATTCACAGACCTGAAGCCCATTTATGGATCCTGCTCTATGTCGTTTTTTTTTTTATTTTTGGACAATTTTATTCTTTTATTTTTATTGCTTGTTGCTGACTTAATTTGTTGCAGAGAAGGTGATGCTAATGAACTAAAGTTAGAGGGTTTTTCCATAAGGGATATCTAGTTGTCCCACATATAAAATTTATACCATCATAAATAGAAAATTTAACTATTTTGTGTGGAAAAAAAAATACACCTCTAGGCATACCATTGATTATAAAATGATTGAGATCATGTGTATTAATTACAACTGAAAAAACTGAAAACTGTGTAAGTGAATGTTATAGAATAAGGAAAAATTCATCATTCTCCTGGAATTATGTTAAATTATGATATTTTGGAATATAGTGATTTCTGCATTTAAAATTCAGTTTAATTTAAAATTGATTTTATTTTTAAAACATTTCAATATATCCCCTTGAAATAATTGTAGAAATCTAAGAAGTTTCAAAACTTTAGTATGTGATTACTGGTACAGCCAGTAGAGATGAATGGAGAAGGATGAGTATTTGCTTCCTAGAAAGTCATGAATGAGGTGTTGAAATAGTAACATATATAAATAACATATGTAATTTAGGGGAGTCTTTGTTTTGCTTTTTGTTTCATCACTTTAGATGTACATAGTAATACATTCCAGTCATGGTGGAATTTAGCGAAAAATAAAATTCATCAACGGTTCTCAGTCTCAATTGTCTTGACATGTTCTTAAAGGTTTATATATTCTTGAGCACCTGGTTGGCTCAGTTAGTCATCTATAAATTTCATTTCAGGTCATGATCTCAGGGTCATGAGATTGAGCCTTGCCTCAGGCTCCACGCAGAGCATGGGAGCCTGCTTAAGATTCTTTTTCCTTCTCCCTCTGTGCCACCCTCACATGAACACACATGCATGTGCGCTCGCTCGCTCTCTTAAAAAAAAAAAATTCAGAACCACAAATTTACTTTTTTTTAATTTAATTTATCCCAAAAGCTTACATACATGCTATGTAACTTACCATTATTTTTACATGGTTACAGAGTGGATGTGGAATAAATATGCCTCATGCAGTCTAATGTTCCAGTTACCTGTATGTGTGTCCCTCTTGTAACTTTATGAACTTTACTGGAAAACTTCATCTGAACCTCCTTTGAAAAATACAGCCACAGATTACAGCAGTAGCATGTAAACTCTTTGTTCATTCATTTTTATTTATTGAGTTGGAGCATATTGTGATTTACTTGAGTAATTAACAAATCACATAATCCTACATGGATTAACATGGTACTTAAACTCAATAATTTATTTGTTGAATGGGTAATGGCATATATCTTTAAGATGATTGCAATATTCTAGATAGAGCAATGAGTTCCAACTCGTTTTGAGACCTGCCTTTTTCCCATGAGTTATTATAGGGAACAATTATGAAATGTTTAAAGGAAAATTTATGAGGAAGATAAATATGCATGCCACATTTTATCTTTGAAGAAACTGATTTTGAAATCAGACACATAATGGCACATTCACATCCACAAAATGTGGTCATCACTATAAATAGCATAAACAAATAAAATGAAACTTCATGTTTTTTTTATGGAGCATACAAATGTATTTAATTTTCACAGTCTTATACTAGCTATTTCTAAGATCACAGAATAAATTTCTTAAAACTAAGAATAACAGAAGTTGAAACCTATAGATAGCACTGTTGATATTCTGATGGACTAAACAAAAATATACCTCTAGGTAATATGGGAATTTCCACTGTCTGTGTATGTATGTGCTTAATGGAAATTTTACAGGGATGCTAAGCATTGAATGGCAGCCACATCACTTAGTAGATTACTAAATTAGAGTCCTTAATATCTGCAAGTGGATCCAGAATACCAACTTTAGTTAACTTTTTAGTAACTTAGTAACAGTAGTAAATAGCCATTGACCACCATGAAAAAAATGAAAATCTGAGAAATTTCAAATCATTGCCAGATAGAACCCCCCAAAAAGGCCTTGCTTTTGGTTATTGCTTTGAGCCTGTCAAAGGATCCCCAAGATCTGCCAAAGGATTATTGAAGATTCACTTGTCGCCTAGGAAAATAGTAAAATACTGTGGGAATAAAGTATCAGTATTCTTGTTCCAGTGAAAACTTTTACATTGGAGATCATTACTAAATGTACCTTGAGAGATGGTTTCCTAATTTTCAGGCCAGAATTATATATCCATATTTCAGGGATTTGATTGATAATATAACAAGCACAAAGAGATGATTGTGTGGAATGAATCTGGGCAAGACCCTACCCAGTGCATTGTGAGGCCTGTGGGATCAAAGCTCTTTGAAACCAAGTTGATCTGGGTGTGGAAGAAATAAAATAACCTTTATCATCAGATGTGGTAGGTGCTGGCTAGGCCATCACTACACAGGTTTTCCACATCACTGAGTAGGAATCTGTATTAAGAAAAAAGGCAAGGAACCCACAGGAATGAAAGGGAAGGAAAGAAGTCTTATCCTCAGATGCTTCTGTAAATCTTCTATATATGACTTTTTTTCCCCTTATGGTAGCATTTCTAACAAAGTATGGATCATTTTTCATTACCGGGTGTATTACCTTGTTAGTTTATACTTGAAGATAATATACTAGTTTACTTGAGAAAGAAAAAAATATATGGTTTAACTTTGCTAATAATTAGATAGATTGAGCCTATATGCAGTTCAAGTCTAGTAATAATATGTGTAATCTGATTAGTTAAATAAAACCAACAGTAAAGAATCATAACAGCTAACCTTATTGATCATTATTTTTCTTTTGCTTGGTCTTAGGGTTTTGACCCACCACATCAAAGTGACACAAGAACCATTTACATAGCCAACAGGTTTCCTCAGAATGGCCTTTACACACCTCAGAAATTTATAGATAACCGGATCATTTCATCTAAGGTAAGCATTAACACTTAAAACTATAGATATATTCCATTTTGTTTGAAAAGTGATTTGTATATTCTAGTATACATTTTTATCCTTAAAAATTCAAGGACATGGTTGGGGCAAATTTATCTTTAACCAAAATTGTGAACTGTAAAGTAAAAGGAGTTGCCAATTGTTAATACCAGTTAACTAACACACCAAAAATTATCCTTAGTTGCAGTTAAACTGAGGAACTAATATTTATACTGTGTGCCAGGCACTATGTTAGGTACATCTCATATCATTTAATTCTTACAACTCTGAGGTAGCTTTTGCTGAGCGTTATGCTCATTTTATATTTGTTTCTTCAATTAAAGCGTTGGGAAATAATTTACCTAGGGTTGCACACTAGTAAGTGACAAGATTGGAGTTTGCACTCGGTTCTATATGACTTTAAAGCCTGACTTCCTCCAATTTTACCACTCTTCTGTAAACATTTAATAGTACGAAGGTACTGCTTCACTCACATATTCTTCCTCGTTTCATTTTTTTCCTATGGCTTTTTTTTTTTTTAAAGATTTTATTTATTTGAAAGAGAGCAAAAGAGAGATATCAGAGAGGGAGAGGGAGAAGCAGACTCATCGCTGAGCAGAGAGCCTGATGCAGGGCTCGATCCCAGGACCCCGAGATCATGACCTGAGCTGAAGGCAGCTGCTTAACTGACTGAGCCACCCAGGCACCCCTTCTATGACATTTTTAAGACGTCTTAGTTTATCTTGAAACTGAAGATTACAGGGTCATGCTGTCCCAACAGACTTTTCTCTCATGATGGAGGAAATGTTTTCTGTGCTGTCTGCTATGATAGCCAGTAGCTATATAGGGCTAGTTAGGCCTTGAAATGTGACTAATGCCACTGAAGAAGCTACTTTTTAAATTTTAATTTATTTTAAATTAAATGTCAGCCATATGCAACTAGTGGTCACCTATTGGACAGTGCAGTTAGAGAGGATGTGAATCAAAGAGACTAAGGATAAAGTTCTCCTTAGATCATTGCTGTTGCTTAATAGACCACCTTCAGAAGCATCTTTGTATTGCACACATACTCTCTCAAATAAATAATAAAAATAAGTAAAATCTTTTTTAAAAAAAAGGTCCTTCTTGAAAATTTTTTTTTAAATTTGGGTATAATTTAAATACACCAAAAATCACCAATTTGAAGTGTACAATTTGATGAGTTTTGACAAATGTATATATAACAACATGTGGCCATCACAAATCAAGATGCAGAATATATCCACCACTAACAACTTAGCAGCCAGTCCTCTTCCTCTTCACCTCTAGCCCTAGCACCCACTGATCTGCTTTCTGTAACTACAGTTTGGTCTGAATTTCATATAAATTCAGTCATATAGTATGAGTCTTCTGTGTGTGGCTTCTTTTGATGTAAAAATAATCCTGAGAGTCATCTTTGTTGTTGCGTATATCAGCAGTTCATTCGTTTTTGGTGCAGAGTTTAGCTGTCAGCCTACGTTTGGAGAGTTTACATTCTGAATTTGGGTCATTTTCCTTGCATGGTTCTTTCACTACCAGTATTTTCCCCTTAAATGTCCATCTACCTTTCTAGTCCTAAACTCAGATCTCTTGTCATATTTTGTGATAAGGGTGTAGTTTTTCCCTACTGTTTGCTGCCATAAGTGTGAGAGTTGGATAGTGTCTGTAGGGTAAAAAGCCATAGTTCACAATTCATATTCCCTCCATTTACATTTTTTTAAATTAAACTTTCTTCCAGTTTCTATCTATATTTTGGATACTTTCCAGGATCCATTTTTAAAATCTAGTTTTTGTAATTCTTATCTGCTGGGAGTTACAGGACCACTTTAGTCCTCTGCCAGTATTGAAAGCTGAGTGTCCTGGAAAACTTTTGGGATTAAATATCTTTACATGATTGTATTCAATGCAGCAGTATTAGGTTTATTGTTTTTGACCACAATTTCAAAAATGTAGATATTTAAATAAACATTCCTTTTTTTTTTTTTTTAGCATATGAAGACTCTCTCTCTCATTACTACCTTATTCCACTAATGCTTTCTCATACTCCTTCCAAACTAGATTACCTGCTATTCCATAAACCCATGTTGAACTTCCCTACTATTGTGCCTTTCCTGTGATGTCATGTTGATAACCACATTTTTTAAATGTAGATTTTATGTTTCTGCAGAGATTGTAGATTTCATGTTTTTATGGAAATATAAAATTCATGGTTTTGACCACAGATTCAGGAATGTAGGTATTTACATAGACAGTGTCCATTTTTTTCCTGACCATAAATGGGGCTGACTTTTTCTAAATTCTCTTTTAACTACCTTTCTACTCCCTTATTATTCCCTTAAACTCTTCCATACTGTATTATTTTCTATCCCACAAAGTCATGATGAACTTTCCTCCTCTCTGCCTGTGTTCATGCTGTCTTTTTTTCCTGAAATGGTCTTCCTCTAATTGCCCCCTATTTTCAGCCCATTGAATATTTACCTCTTAAAGCCCATGTTAAATACGACCTTCTTCATTAAATTTTTCTCTCACTGACTGCTTTTCATTTTAATTCTCTACATATTCCATCACTTAATCTTTGAATATAGCTATTGATATTTTGTTCTTAATTTCCTCTAATATTAAAACTTCTTGGTTTCTCTCATAGTGCAAGTGTCTTGCACATTGTAGGTACATGATATCTCTGTTTAATTTACCATAGTAACTACCTTTCTTAAATTTTAACTTCTTTGGAAAAGATTTAATTTCATAACTATGTTTTGTTTTTCTTACTAATGTCAGAATTTGAGAAAAAAAGGTCAATTGTATAGTCATATATATAGCTCTAAAGAAGTTGTACTTCTAATTTATTTTTATTGACCATTATTACATAACTAAAATTTAAAGCATAATAAATCATTATTTTTCTTATAATATTTTTATATTGTTTAATATTTATTCTATAGTTCCTCCTCTACATATGATAGGATAAGCACAGAACTTAGACTTGTTCAGTCTATTAATATATTTGTATTTTAGAAAACCTGGAAACAATTCCTAATATTTGTAAGCTAGTTTTCATAAGAAATTATTGTTTATTCTGAGTTTTTCCATGTGTTATTGAACTAGCCAAAGAAAATATCCTGAGATCAATTACCCTACTTCCAATTTATGTACTTGTTGTTTTTGAGATTCTGGAAGACAAAATGTATTGTCACTGTTATGATTTAAATAGATTGATGTAAATTTAGGACGTTGCCAACTTGATTCCTATGAAATTTTATATATTTGATTTGGCGACTAAGGGTGTTACCTGGAATACTCTGACCTCTATAGGGACAACTGTCTTTTTACTCCAGTTAAGATCAGCTGGAGATGATATGACCCAAAGTTACCATCTTATATGTACACATTGAGCAGTGAATAGAAAGCATCTACTTACAGCTCTTCTCTCTAGAACCCTGAACATAATCCCCACTCCCAGATTCTGGAGCCACTGGTGGTACCACTACCATGGGAAAATATGTTTCAGATATTTCAGACTAGAACTGAAAATATAATTTCACCTGAGAGAAATGTTGTTAGGTATTGTACTACTTATGTATCCTTGGGTCAGACAGGCTTTTGTGAGCTCTTCTGGGAACCTAACTCTATTTATAAAATTATTCATATGGGAAAGGACATTTCAGGTCTCAAACTAACTGATGAAGTGAATTTTTTAAATAAGAAAATTCAGAAATTAGAACCATCTTAAATTGTACCAGAGAAAAGTAGGAAAACTGCATCCTTACAAATCTCAAAATGGTCAATAACCATTAAGGCTTCATTGCCTGACATAGGATAGTTATCTGAAAAAAAAATTCATTTCAACCTTGTGTGTGTGTGTGTGTGTGTGTGTGTGTGTGTGTATTCATTCGTTCTGCTAAAGTTTTGATCTTCAACTATGTGCTGAGTAGTAGTGGTAAGTCCTGGAGATAGAGCAGTAAATAAAACAATGTCCCTAGCCTCAAGAATCTTACATTCTACTGAGAGACTGTATATGGGATAAAGTAACAGTACTACAAAGTGTTTTCCTGTTTCATATATGAAGTTGTGAGCAGTTAGTGACACAAGTAGAATTTGTACTGTTTTACCCTACCCCTATAATATAGCATTATAGGCTTATATGCTGATTAGTAATATAACAACAAACACATAGAGGTTAATATGAGCCAGTTTCCGTCCTAAGTCCTTCATAGATATATTAGCTCATGTAAACCTTATAACAACCCTATACACTATGGTTATTATTTTCCTCATTTTATAGAGGCATGAAGTGGGGTACAGAGAGATTAGTCCAGGGTCATTTAAGTGACCGTCTTACTTTAAAAATTGACATTGTGACAGATTTTTATGCCTTTATGAGATATTCTTGGTGGTTATACTAGTGATCACTTATGTATTTTTAATCTTTTTCACATTCTAGGTTATTTTTCCATATTCTGTACTTAACAAAAAATAATCAAATAATTATACCATTTCCTTTATTTCTGACATTGAGCTACATAAAATAGAAAATAAATTGTATCTAGTGTCAGCATTTTTATCAGCTCTTATTTATTTTTAACATTAGTTCATTTTGTGTCACCAGAGTCCAAAATAAATTATTAAATGTTGTTTTAGATCTGTCATCTCCAACTCCTAAAAAATTAAGAATTTAATAGCGAAATTGGTAGGTTTCAGTTTATCTCATCTTTTTAAATTACCCTAAAATTGCCAATAAATAGTATAAGAAAGAAAAAAGTATAGAATAAAAGTTCTGAAACTCTTAAAAGCCAGATAGTTTTAGTAGCATCAATATTTACATAATTTTTCTAAGGACTTAGTAAATCTGATTTTACTTTTCTTATTATTACATCGATACAGTGTATATTATTTTAAATATTAATTTATCCATCTCTCTCTTTTTTTTAGTATACTGTGTGGAATTTTGTTCCAAAAAATTTATTTGAACAATTCAGAAGAGTGGCAAACTTTTATTTTCTTATTATATTTTTGGTTCAGGTAAGCTTTCTCACTCAATAGATTAAGTTTATAGAATGATTTCTAAAATTATGTCTTCAGGGAAAAGTTGCATTGCATTCTAAATTATTTTACTATGGGATCTTTTTTTCTTTTCTGCAGAGCTTCCCAATTGTGATCAGTGAATATTGTGATTTAAACCACATGCAGATTTCTAAAAAATAGCCTATGAATTTTAAGATTAATTTTATTTTGTTTCATCACTGATATGCTGTGGTGTTGATAACCATAATCAAAGCCAATTTTACATTTCAGTTGCTCTGCCTCAGAACATAAATATTTTGGCTTTTAATATATAGCATATGTTTTTGGCACATTTCTGCTTACAGAACCATCTTTGTCCATGAAAATCTTTTTTTGGCTTTCCCTTTGTTTTCAGTTTAAATTCTTTTATTTTAAGGGGTTTTTTTTAATTTTAATTTTTAAATATCCCCATGAATATAGATTTTTGTTCTTGGGACCATTTTCTTAAATCTGTATTCATTATAAACTCTTTTACAGTTTTTTAATTTTCATATTGTTTCTTTTTTCTCTAATGTCAAAGTGTCAAGAGAACAGCTTATAAAACGAGTATAAGTCAAAATTTAAAAATAGTGATTGCCATTTTCTTTTAAAGGGGTTATTCTTTTCTGATGATACATTAGCAATCTCTTTCAGTGTGGCATTGAATTTTTGTATAAACTGAACTTTTCTCTCATAGAACCTGGAATTTCAGGGAAAAAAATTGTCAAGTGATTAAAGCTTGAGGAAACATTTACTTTTTTAAAAATTTGCTTTCCTTCATGAACAGAGAAGGAACTTCTGATTTTCTGTCAATAGAACATCAGCTTGGTTTTTTTTAAAAAGTGAGAATTTATATTAACCATGTCCACATAACACATGCATTTGTGAAATTACCAGCTAAGATCAGGAATTCAGCTTGTCTGTGGAGTAGAACAAATTTAATTGGCCTATTCAGGGTAAAGGAACATTAATAAACCATTAGATCCATTTTTTAACTAACCAAACATAATTACTGCAAAAATTACTTCTCCAGCAATTTATTGAAACCTCAGTTGTTTGATTTAGATCATAATTACGGCATCATTTTCTGAGCTCTACCCCTCTGGCTCTGTAGATGTGACAAAAATCACTGTAGAAAAAAAAAATCCTTTTCCTAGTCCCATTCCTTGTTCCCTCTTCATAAGTGGTGAATTTATTCTGAATTCCAGCGTAAAAATTGCTGACAGACTTTTCAGCATTTACCAGGATGGTAAAGAAATGTAAAATGAGATTCTGAGCAGCTGTAGCTCTGCTTCTAGGCAAATACTGAGGAGAAAGACCTTAAGTACTCTGTGTTAAAAAGGCAGAGGTGACTGAGTCCATTCTAGCAATATTTGTGGGTATGCAGTAGGTTTACTCTACTAACTTCATATAATAGCCAACAAAATGAACTTGGTGAAACTGTGAACTAAACTCTGTGCATGATATCTCTGTCCTGTTTTTTACTCTGGACCATGATACACATTTTATACAGTGTTCTCAGAATTCCCAATAAGTATGAGATTTTAGATGTTAATAGTGTGATGTATACAATATAAAAATATTAATATTCTGCATTCTTTTTTTGTTGTTGTAAATCTAGCTTATGATTGATACACCTACCAGTCCAATTACCAGTGGACTTCCGTTATTCTTTGTGATAACAGTAACCGCCATAAAGCAGGTATGAAAATACTTCTTATCCCCCCCCAAGTCATTTAGAAGTTGCTAAATATTTCCACTTCAAACTAACATTTATTGTTGTGAAAATAATTTCCATAGGAAAGCAACAAATTTGATGTTGCATATGGTAAAGTTAAACTGAGTTAAGCCACTTTTATATTTCAGGTACTAGGGACTCATGGAATGATTACCATTGTTAAAATATGTTGTTCCCTTGACACACCTTGGAAGCATCCAAAAACAAGCATTTTATATGTACAAACCAATTTATATGTGAAACAGATTAATTATTATAATCATCTTTGTAGGTTTGGCAATATTTAAAGGAAGTACAATTCAAAAGGGATATATTTCTAGGGAGTGAAGCATGTACTTTTAGCATGACCATTTTGAATAAAAATTGTATAGTGTTTTCCTACTTTCTACAGCTTTCCCTGGTGATGTTGATTTTTATATAAAGTAATACCCTAGGTTGAAATAGCTTCAACCAAATCTTGAATTGATATTAAAATGTAGGTATAGAAAAGCAAGATTATTAGATACACATGCTGAGTAAGAAATAAATTTATAGAAATGTCATGTCTAAATTGCTATCACTTCTCAAAAAATCGTGTCAGGGGCCCAGTTAAATAGATGACCTTTCCACCTGAAAGGAAGTTAATTGAATTATAATTGTAAATATGATAAATTTCCATTTTATAAGACTTAGGGATAAGATTTAAATTGACACGGACAATTTCACTATTGGGTATTTACCCCAAAGATACAAATGTAATGATCTGAAGGGGCACGTGCACCCCAATGTTTATAGCAGCAGTATTCACGATAGCCAAACTATGGAAAAAGCTTAGATGTCCCATCAACAGATGAATGGATAAAGAAGATGTGGTATGTGTGTGTGTGTGTGTGTGTGTGTGTGTACACACCCACACACACACAATGGAATATTATGCAGCCATCAAAAAAGAGGTCATCTTGCCATTTGCAATGACGTGGATGGAACTAGAGGGTATTATGCTAAGCAAAATAAGTCAATCAGAGAAAGACAATTATCATATGATCTCACTGATACGAGGAATTTGAGAAACAAGACAGAAGATCATAGGGGAAGGGAGGAAAAATGAAACAAGACAAAACCAGAGAGGGAGACAAACTGTAAGAGACTCTTAATCTCAGGAAACAAATTGAGGATTGCTGGAGTGAGTGGAGTGAGAAGGGTGGGGTGGCTGGGTGATGGACATGGGAGAGGGTATGTGCTTTGGTGAGTGCCGTGAATTGTGTAAGACTGATGAATCACAGTCCTGTACCTCTGAAACAAATAATACGTTATATGTTAATAAAAAAATAAAAAAATAAATTGACATGGAAATAAAATTGACAAACATTCTTTAATTCTGGGATGTAGTATATTCTTTATTACTTACATAGAAGGATAAGAGGAATCTATGGATTAACAGTTACATTATAAATCTGGTGTGTCAGAATACCATGCTACTGCTTTCACTAAGTTTGATTTCCTTTTACTGCTTTATTGGAGGCTTAAAAGCATCCAAATCACTTCATACAGTTACATATTTACTTGGTTTTGTAGATGTCATTTATTTCATCAAAGTAACATATATTTGTCCCTTGGACCTCTTTTCTATATATACTTTACTTCTTAGGTGATTTCATTTAGTCTAGTGGGTGATAGTACCATTTATATGTTGATGGTTCTCAAATCAACATGTATTCTAAAACTATTTCCTGAATTCCAGACACATATATACAAATGTTTGTGCAATATTTCCACATGGATATCTTAGGCTTTTCCTGACCACCATGTTACTCTCTCATTTCTGGTCTGGTCTTTTTTCTTCATATATTTGTCACTACCTGTTGCTCTGTTGAATAAATGTTTATTAGTTTATCTCTTATCTTCATTTGAATGTTTAGCTCTATGAGCGCAGAGACTTTGTTTTATATACCAGATTATTTCCAGTGACCAGAACAAAGTCATGCACATATTGGGCCTTCAATAAACATTTGTTTGATAGATGAATAAATGAATGAATAAACCTATTGAATATATTTTAAAGCAATGCAATATGTTGTGAAACTTCTTACCCTGATTTCCCAATGTATTGGCCAAATATAGACTAGGTTTAATTGAAATGTGATGCCATTAACTGAGTTGAGAAACAGTGGTGAATTTATATCTGCAAAATGAGAGAGTTTAATATGATAATGACAGTTGACAACCTGTCTTCTTCCAAAATGAGTTAAGTAAAACATAAAATCTAAAGATAGGAAGTGGGAAGATTATACTTCAAACCTGTGTTAGTATGGTTATTGAAGTTGAGTACTAAATTTACTTGAGAGCTTTTTGACAACTAAGGCAAAAGAAGAAATATGAAAGGTCATAATTTTCAAAGAGAAAATTTGATCTATAAGGATTTTTTCCCTTTTTCAGGAATGAGATTTCAGAACTCATAATTTTCTCTTGTGCAGTAACTGTTCCTAAGTTTCGTTCATTCAGGAAACACACTCATACCAGAGTGTGTACTGTTCAGGTTTATATGTCCATCACTATAGATTAGTGGAACACAATTTTGGAAAAATTATAAAAGTGGAAGTTGCCATGTTCCAATCTTCCTTCCTTGTCTTCTCCCCTTTTAGTCTGCCTTTGTACTTTTATCAAAATAGGAAAAGCTTTATTATCAGTTATTTACACTTTAATTTGAATGAAGTTATTTTTTTGTTTTTTAACTTCTTCCAATCATACTTACATATTAAGTCTTCTCTCTAGTTGCATAATGCAAGATATATGCTCTGGTAAGTATCAAAGTCTTTGCCTTCTGTGAACTTAAAACCTATGAAGTAGGGAAGATAAGACCAAATACAATAATAATTATAGTTTAATAAAGTACTAGTAAGAGCCAGTGAGCTGGAGGTATTCAGAGAAAGGATGGAACTCTTCATCTGATAATCAGGGAGGTTTTGTGGAATAAATAATAGAAATGAAACTTGGAATATTGGTAAAATGACAGTTGGTGAAGAAGGTGAGACAGAAACAAACAACTTAGGCAAAGGCTAAATGCAGGAAAAGCCAAGACCTATTTTGGGGAATGACATGTCTGACTAAATGTTTGACCCTATAGAGGGAAGTATTAAAAGATAATACTGGAAACGTAGGTTGATATTAAATTAAAGAGGTTGGAAGATTCTTTGCTGTAAGCATTGAGAGTTATTGAGGGGGTTTTGAACAAGACAGTGAATTAAAACAATGTTTTGGAAACATTAATCTGGCAGTAATAGGTAGCGTAGATTAGATTTTGTGAATTTGTGTTTTAAAAGATAATGTTTTTATCATTGTTGCTCAGCTATTAATGCCATCTGACTATGAAAGGAATTGTGCTTTTTGACAGTTTCAGAAAAGATGTTTTGACTCTCAGTTAAATTTCTCTAAAATTGACATACTACATCTTAAATGAGGTCAATGTAATTTAAGTATCTTAAGAATGCTTTCCCAAAGGTTTCTCCCTGAAAAAAAAAAAAAGACCTTCAAAGTGATCCTTAATATTTGTTTTATATTTTGTAGTATTATATTTTTAGGAAATAGATGCACGTATTTTTCAAAAACAGAAACAGTACAAAATAGCATATAGTAAAAGTTTTTTATATTCCTAAACCCCCAGTCCCCTGTTTTCCTTTCCTGATATATTTGTACATTAGTCCTGATATCTAGGCAGAATGTTCACATAGGCAGGCATACTTTTATTTTCATATATGATAGCATAGAACACAATACATTCTGTACCTCATTTTATCACTTAATGCTATCTCTTGGATATCATTTCATTATCTGTATTTATGCTACACCCCTGAGTTCTTGAATATTCTCTAAAGTAGCATGAGAAGGGGCGCCTGGTAAATCTCAGTCAGTTAAGCATCTGCCTTCTGCTCAGGTCATGATCCCAGGGTCCTGGAATCAAGCCCCACATCAGGCTCCCTGCTCAGCGGAGAGCCTGCTTCTCCCTCTCCCTTTGCCCCTCCTCCCCTTGCTTGTGCTCTCTCTTTTTCCCTCTCTCTCTGTCAAATAAATAAATAAGATCTTTTAAAATAAATAAATAAAATGGCACAGAAAGCCATTTCCACTTTAAAAAAATTGCCACTCCTTAAACATTTAATCAAAGGTTTCCTTCTGAAATGCTTATGTCTGTGCCCCTTTTTAAATGGCGATGCATGTAGCCTACCATATTTTTTTAAGTACATATTATAATTAGTTCTGTTGGCCTATTGTTTAAGAAAGTGAAAGAACTCAACCTCAGTTTAAAAATCTGTTCATTTTTTTTTGCTGTTGTCTGTAATAATGCTCTGTGAATTTATATTTTATGATTAAAATACCATTTTTACATAGAAGCAATAGAACTTATAGATTGAATAAGCGTAGGAAAAGGTAAGAATCAAGAATGACTCCCCAGATTTCTGCTAAGAGCAATTCAGTAGATGTTGATGTCATTTGTCAAGATGGGGAACATTGGAAATGCCATAGATTTGGAGGGATAATATCATCAATTTGGTTTTGAAATGTTTACTATGACACATCAAAATGGAGATATTAAGGATGCAGGTAGATATTAAAGTTTGAGTCCAAAAGAGAGATATGGGCTAGAAATATAAATTTCAGGACTTTTTGAAGACATGGGGATAGAAGAAATCTTGTAGTGAGAAAGTGAAGGGTGAAAAAGGGGCCCATAAAGCTGACATGGAAGGAGTCTCCTGTAAGGAAATTGAGGAGTAACTAGAGAGGTACTATGAAAACCAGGAACATGTGTGTAAGGACACCAAGAGAAGAGTGTTTCTAGTAGGAATGAATGTCAGATACCATGAGTTATGTGCATCAAACTAGCCTAATATAACTCTGGTAAATGAAATAAATGTTTTGAGGAAGTGTTTATGTTTCTTTTTCTCATGCAATAAAAGTATCTTCTAGTTACATTAAAAAGGGTATTTTTTTGTTCTTTTGATATTTACAGGGATATGAAGATTGGTTACGACATAACTCAGATAATGAAGTAAATGGAGCTCCTGTTTATGTTGTTCGAAGTGGTGGCCTTGTAAAAACTAGATCAAAAAACATTCGGGTATGCATTTAGTAAATAATGGAAGTCAATTATATTTTGGTATCACAAATTCTAATCTGATTATATTTTAGTTAAAAGCCTACTTTCTACATTAAAATATTGTGATAGGCCATCTGTTTAGAAATCAATAAAAATAAGTCTCTGCCTCATAAAATCTGTATATTTACTTTTCTCCCATAATTCCTTATAGGTGGGTGATATTGTGCGAATAGCCAAAGATGAAATTTTCCCTGCAGATTTGGTGCTTCTGTCGTCAGATCGACTTGATGGTTCTTGTCACGTTACAACTGCTAGTTTGGATGGAGAAACTAACCTGAAGGTTTGTACATGTATGTTTGTACATGAATATGTATGAGTGTTGCTCTGGGTGAACAAAATGTTTTTGGGTCATGGTAATATTTTCCTTTGTTTGACTTGCTAAGGAAGAAATTTTTTAAATCACTGAAGCTTTTAAAAATTATAAGTCTTTTAAAAGAAATAATGTTATATATGTATTTCAAGGGTAGCCTCATGTGGTTTAATCAAGTTAAAGAAAAATGGAATGTGTTTTTAGGAAAAAATGTTATCCTTTAATATTTTGGTGCTTTTTTAGATAAGGGACACCTTTAAATTGTTCTTAGTTTTCAGAAGATGAAAGTGAAAATTTGTATTTTTTCCTATTAAATTGCTTTATAATAAACTTTGAGCAAATAGTGACTGTTAATACAGACTTAATTTTTTTTATAAGCAAATGGTCTGTCTAGACAGGTAATCATAGCAGCTCCCTTAGCTATTCGTTATTTTGTAATCTTTCTCCTCTGCTATCTAGCTAAGTGATCTCAAGTACAGTGTACTATGATTTTATCTGAAAAGAGATTTGAAATAGATGATATCTAAGGTCCCATTTGGCTCTTGAAACTGCAGTGTAATCCTTTTTTTTTTTTTTTAATTTTCCCAGACACACGTGGCAGTTCCAGAAACAGCAGTATTACAAACAGTTGCCAGTTTGGACACACTCATAGCTGTGATAGAATGTCAGCAACCAGAAGCAGACTTGTACAGGTATGGTATAGTAGTGGATTATTTCCTAAGAAAAGACAGAGCTGCAAAAGTAGAATTGTTGGATTAAAATTAATCTATGGCCTTTACAAAAACATTGGACTAATTTTTATTGCCATGAGCAAAGTATAAGTTTAGGACGGGACCACTCTTTACACCACACAAAAATGGATTAAAGACCTAAATGTGAGACCTGAGACCATAAAACTCCTAGAAGAAAACATAAGCAGTAATCTCGTGGATATCACCTCTATCAACGTATTTATAGATATGTCTCCTCAGGCAAGGGAAACAAAAGTAAAAATAAACTGTTGGGACTACACCAAAATAAAGAGCTTTTGCACAACAAAGGAAACCATCAACAAAACAAAAAGGGAGCCTAGTGAATGGGAGAAGATATTTGCAAATGATATACCTGATAAGTGGTTAATACCCAAATATATAAAAAACTTAATTCATCTCAACACGAAAAAAGAAATTTTTTTTTTCAATTAAAAAACAGGTAAAAGAGGGGTGCCTGGGTGGCATCTGACTCCTGATTTCAGCTCAGGTCATGATCTCATGGGTTGTGGGATTGAGCCCCATCCATGCTCAGCGGGTGGGAGGGGGGTGGCTATCATCTGAGATTCTCTCTCTCCCTCCCGCTCCCTCCACTTGAGTGCACTCTCTCTCTCAAATAAATCTTTAAAAAAAATAAAATAAAATGGGTAGAGGACCTGAGTAGACATTTTTCCAAAGAAGACATGCAGATGGACAACAGGCACATGAAAAAATACTCAACATCACTAATCATGAGTGAAATGCAGATCAAGACCAGGCAGAATGGCTGGTATCAAAAAGGCAAGACATAACAAGTGTTGGCAAGGATGTAAAGAGAAGGGAAACCCCCTCATGCACTGTTGATAGGAATGTAAATTGGTGCAACCACTGTGGAAAACAGTATGGAAATTCCTCAAAAAATTAAAAATAGAAATACTGTATGATCCAGTAATTTCACTCCTGGGTATTTAAAGAAAATGAAAACACTAATTTGAAAGATATATGCACCCCTATGCTTATGACAACATTATTTACAGTAGCCAAGATCTATTGATAGATGAGTAGATAAAATATCATATATAACAACCCAAGTATCTAATGATAGATGAGTAGATAAAGATGTGGTGTATGTATACAGTGGAATATCACTCAGCCATAAAAAAGAATGAGATCTTTCCATTTGCAACAACATGGATGGACCTCTAGAGGCATTATACCAAATGAAATAAGCCGGAGAAAGACAACTACCATATAATTTTACTTATATGTGGAATATAACAAAACAAACAAAACCAGATTCTTAGGTCCAGAGAACAAACTGGTGGTTGTCAGAGGTGAGTTGGGAGGGGGATGGGCTCCTTTGCTCCGTTAGTTCTTTCTATTTTTACAACTCTTAATTTTTTAAACTCTGATTCAGTACCTGCACTTCTAGGAATTTTTTCTAATGAAATAATGAAATTCTCCTAGGAATGTATCTTAATGAAAATATGAAAAGATGTATACACAAGGTTGTTCAAGGCTACATTGTTTAAACTATCCATAAAGTGGAAAAACCCTACACTTCCCTCAGCAGTGAATTATTTATATTATGCAGTAATCCCCAAAATGCAGTGCTGTATGTGGCCATTAAAAATAATGATGTAGATTTACGTTTTTGACAGGACATGTTAAGTGAGGGAAAGTGTTACCAACAGTATTTATGGCATGATTCCATTTTGTTTTTAAGATATATGCATGAAAAAAAAAGTCTGGAAAAGATACTCCAAAATATTAACAGTGTTTATATTTGAGTAGTGGGATTACCAGTGATTCTTATTTCCCTCTTGATGTCTTTTTAAGCTATCTAAATTAAATCATTTTATAAAATGTATGTGTTTCAGTGTAGGTAGTCTTTATAATCAGAAAAGAGAATAATGAAACCATGTCCATTTTGAATCAAATTAAAGTGTGGGTTTGGAGAAATGGCTAGGGAAAGTGCAAGATGAGTTAATCCAGCATGGAACCAGCATAAATAGATAGGAGTACCTTGGAATCAAGGATAACAGGACAGATGAAATGAAGGAAAATAGGTCTCTTTTTGGAATTTAGCTCAGGGAAATCAAAAGACTGATCACACATCATCTCCAAAAGATACCCAGGGAAACAGCAGCTGAATTGGTTCTTTGAATCTAAATCCAAAGTTGAGGCTGGAATCAGGACTACATAAAATTCCATTATGTGGAGATAATAAAAAACCTCAGTGCTGCTCCCTGATACAGGGAGCTGAAAGAAGTAGAAGTAGGAGATTAGCAAGAAACAATGAAGCCGAAGTCTATAAGCATCTGTGACCTGGAAACAGGGCGGATAATAGGGACATTTGGAAGGAATGCTTATTTCTTTGCTTAGGGAAATGATTTAACATGAAAGTTCTGTCTAGAGTTTGCTTCAACTTAGAATTTACCTCACCATAGTAGAAAGTGATTGTACACTTGAATTGACCCTGTGCTATGGAGCTGTTCTGGTTGTGGAAGTTGGAACTGAAAGGCCAGGCCGTGAAAATCCATTATGATAACCGGCCACTTACTCTAGATTTCAGGCAACCAATAGTTAAAGAAGGTCTGGAGTTCACTGCTAGGTTTTTGCTTAACTACTCTATCCCCACCACTTAACTCACACATGGTCGTCGTTCAGTGAATATTTATGAATGCATGCCTAGAATCAATTGGTGAGTGAATGAATGGTTCTAGTCAGGAGACTTTACTTAATAAACTGTGGTGTGTGTGAGCATTCATTGTTGGCTAAATAATATATGCATCTTTGTGTAGAAATTACAAATTAGATCACTAAACTAATAAGACATTTTCATTGCCATTTTGGGGGGTTTTTTTAAAGTGTTTTTATTTATTCATTCGAGACACAGAGATACAAAGAGAGAGAGAGAGCATGAGCAGGGGGAGAAGCAGAGGGAGAGGGAGAAGCAGGCTCCCCGCTGAGCCAGGAGCCCGATGGGGGACTGGATCCCAGGACCCTGGGATCATGACCTGAGCTGAAGGCAGACGCTCCACCATCAGAGCCACCCAGGCACCCCTTCATTGCCATTTTGAAAACATTTTTTTTATTTTTTACTTCATTCATAGCTGGATTGGAGATGGCAAGAATATCAGTTTTTTAAAGCTTAATAAATGATAAGTATTTACGTAACTTCTAACATAAAAAATGGACCATTCCAAATACAAAAGGTTAGTTTTGTTTCATGTACAAGAATAATGCCAAAACTATTAAAAATTTTTCACCCATTGACGTCCTAAGTATTATTGGTTTTTTTGTAACATGGTGAATTCTTTGATAGATTCATGGGACGAATGATAATAACTCAACAAATGGAAGAAATTGTAAGGTAAGAATAATTTGCATTGTCCAAATACTATTATGTGAGAATTGTATTGGGGAGGGACTAAAATCAAGTTAAAGGGAGATTAGGTAAGTAAGCAGCACATCATGAAAAAGGGTTAATTTAAAAGCATTTAACATTTCATCTTCTAATAATTTGTAGCAGCAATGAGTAAGGACAAAAAAAATCCCATGAAATGATATCAAAATAGTTTAGTAAGATTATTTGTGTACTTGTATTTCTTTTTCTGGTAGTATTAGGTAGTAACATAAAAGGAAACAGCCATTCTTATTCAAGTTCTTACACACTTAAACCACCACACTTAAAGTCTAGAATACAAAAAAACATTTTATATAATGTGTGACCAGTATAAATGTCATATTTAGTGGCCAATCTAGAACCTCTTCTTTACTCTTCTGATTGGTTTTTTTGTTTAGTTGGTTGTTTTGGTGTGTTTGCCCTCAATATTCAGGTTAATTTCTGGCTCCTGCATGAAAAGCTTTGAGTTATTTCAGAAATGTGCTGATATGATGAGATTATATTGTTACTCATGACCACAAAGCCAAATCAAGAATAAATCTTGGAATCAGCCCTTGAACTTGTAGTCCAATTAGCATTCCACCACTTTTCTGGAGTTGTGTTCAGTTAATACAGGCTGCATGAAATAAGTCACTAACATGAAGAGTTGAGCATTTTTGAAAGGAAGTTCTCAAAACAGCCACCAAAAATATCGTGATACTTAGCACCAATTCACATTTTTAATAAACATTAACATAGGAGCACATGCAGTAAACTCCTTAACAAAGTCTTTGTAAGTGTAGGACCCCCTGCTGAATAACTATGACTAGGTTTTATTTTGATTTCTAAAGTGACATAGTGGAATATATATGTGGATACTAATCTGAATTTCATTAAGATATTGTGGCTGGTAAAGCAAAAGATCAGTTATGTTAACCCAGCACCTAAAATGGTTAAAAAGGTTAGCCCATTTTCTTTTGCTAAAGCAACCTGAGTGAACTGATGAATTGTCTTTTAATTTGAAAGCTTTCTATCATTATATCCCAATTTTATATATCAACGTGAGCTCAGAGTTTTTCTGTTCATTGTTGGAACCAAGACCAAGGGAAAAGCTATTTTATGCTTCCTGAATAATTGATTTTGGAATATCCATGGAGTGTGCTCTAAATATGACTAATAAAATCATACTTGTTAACCATGTCCCAAATACCTGATCCTCCTTGGTTCATTTGGATTTGTAGATGTCTTCAGAATTAGTTCAGATTCTGTTTGATTTGGGTAACTAGTATGTGCATGTTTCAGAAAAACATAAGGAATATCAATAAAACTAAGGCTTTTTTACTTATCCATAACAGTCTTATCATTTTGCTATCACTAAGAAAATACAGTTGCCTTTCTAGTTATTCCTTCTTGTTTTATATCTCCTTTATGGAGAGAAATTCAAACAGCAAGAAGACCCGTGCTCCAAGGAGTACGCAATGCAACTACTCAAGTTGTAGTGTCGATCTTGCCTAGAGAAAGTAACATTATGTTTTAATATCCAGTGTAATTTTAATTATGAAGAATTGATGCATTTATATACAAATCATTATATAATTCATGTTTACATTGCATTTTAATTCTTTGTTTTCCATTTAAAAACTTTAATTTTGCACAAAATTTTTAAATTTCATTATGTTAAACATTTTTAAATCATTGGTTATTCTTTTGTTGTGTTTTATGTTTAAAAATCTTGAAACTGATGGCTTTGTAAGTTTATTTATAGGTGTAGGCTTATTTCTGAGCCACTGATCTTAAAGTGCCTGAAATGCTAAAGCAGATAATTGTTGTTATGGTCACTAACATCATAATTGACCTAAATAGCTTTATAGTAACCAAGATTTTGGTTTTGTATGGAAGCAGTGTTGTAACTGTAGCTTAGGGACTTTCTGCTGTAGATGCCATTTTAGAATTTAATTTAATTTTTAGTATATTCAATGCTTTTTTTTTTTTTCCTCCCTAGACCTCTGGGGCCGGAGAGTCTCTTGCTTCGTGGAGCCAGGTTAAAAAACACAAAAGAAATTTTTGGTTTGTATATATTGAAAAAAAATTTTTTTTAAGATTTTATTTATTTGAGAGAGAGAGAGTGAGCACTTGCAGGGGGAGGAGCAGAGGAGAGGAAGAAGCAGACTCCCCTCTGGGCAGGGAGCCCAATGTGGGACTCAATCCCAGGGCCCTGGGATCATGACCTGAGCCAAAGGCAGATGCTTAACCAACTGAGCCACCCAGGCACTCTATATTGAAAATTTTTAATTATAGATTCATGTTCATGCTTTATATAAAGTATTTCTTTTTGAAAGAGAGAGAACACACACGAGTGGGGGTGGGTGGGCAGAGGGCGAGGGAGAGAGAATCTTAAGCAGGCTCCATGTCCAACACAGAGCCTGACACCAGGCTCAATCTCACAACACTGAAATCATGACCTGAGCTGAAAACAAAAGTTGGACACTCAACTGACTGAGCCACCCGGGTGCCCCTATATAAAGTATTTTTTAAAGCATAGCATTTGTGGTCTTTTGATTGGATAATTTACTTAGTCAAATGTCTGTAATAATTTTCTTGCAAAGACTGTGTTAATAAAATTTTGTATTGTATTTTTTTGTTGTTAATCCCTATTTTTTAATAATAGAGTAGAACCTTGCTCTTTTGTGGATACTTCTGAAGCACTGCTAAGAAGATAATTCTGATTTTAATGGTGGTATTTAATGGCAGGTATTATTGGAATGTATACTGACTGGATCAAAAGGATGAATAAATAGTGTTCTAGTGTTGGAGATCTAAATTAATTCACATGTTCTGAGTCAACTCTAGGCAAATTGGGAAGTCCTGATAACCTTTAGCTGTCAGCTAGCTCCTCCCATTTTAGGAATGGCTTTCATATACTGCCCAGCCTGTTATTCACTGAATGTTTACAGCTTTCAAGGTTCTCTTCTTCATTCTCTTCTTTCCTATTAACTGTGCTATATTTTATTTCTCGGTATGAGGCTCTCTGATAAAGATATGTATATCCTTTAAAAAGCAGAAAACAGCAAGTGTTGGTGAGGTTGTAGAGAATTTGGAATCCTCATACAGTGCTGTGGGAGTATAAAATGTCACAGCCGCTATGAACAATAGTGTGGCAGTTCCTCAGTAAGTTAAACCTAGAATTGTCGTATGACCCAGCAATTCTACATATTGTATGATCCAGCAGTTCTACTCCTAGATATATAACCAAAAGAATTGAAAGTAAGTGTTCAAAGACTTATACAGGATGTTCACAGCAGCACTCTTCAATAGCCAAAGGGTAGAAACTGCCCAAATATCCATCAACTAATGAATGGATAAACAAAGTTTAAGATGCCTGTATAATGAAATATTACTCACCCATAAAAAATGAAGTACTAATGCATGCTATAACATGGATAAACATTGAAAACATGCTGAGTAAAAGAAGCCAGACACAAAAAGCTACATATTGTATGATTCCATTTACTTGGAATACCCAGAATAGGCAAGTTTATAGAGACAGAAAGTAGACTTGTGGTTCCCAAGGGCTGGGGAGTGGAGGGGAATGAGAAATGATTGCTTAATGGGAACAGGCTTTTCTTTGAGGGTGATAAAAATGTCAAGTTAGTGAGGGTTGTACAACATTGAGATTGTACTAAGGGCCACCAAATTGTACACTTTAAGATGAATAAAATGATAAACTAAGTAATGTATATTATAGTTAAAAAAAAAAAAACAAAAACCATCATCATGTTCTGATGGCCAAGGCCAGAGAACATCTCCAGGGCTTTTAGACCCTCTCATGCAATGCTGTATTTTAATACATCTCTCTAGCAGGAACACCTTTCACATTCTTAAAATAAAATATATATTTGAATGCCTTTAGCTGGGTTCTGCTGTTGTCACCTCAGCCCCACCTGTCTGTTGCATATCATTCTGGCTGATTGCTCCCATTTCTGTAATTTCAGTGCGCTTTGTCCAATCTGAGTTATAATCCCTGCCTCTAAAGAATACTGGTGAAAATTCTAGGACAAATCTTTAGAAAGAGAACATGATGAATCCTACACTGCTTCTCAGACTTCACTCTTTAAAGATGGGTGTGAATACTTACTGATCTCTCTGTTTCTAGGCATTTTGCTATTTTGTCATACAAATCTCACAACAATTCTGAGGGATTTTTTTCCTATTTAAAGATGGGGAAATTGAGACTTAGATTAAATAACTTGCCCAAGGACCCAGAACTAATAAGTGGCAGAGGTAGCACTCAAACTAAGGTCTAACTCCAAAGTTTTTTATAAAGCTGGTCTTAACTAATTTCATTCACTCCCCAATTTAGACCGTTGTTACTGTCATTCTTATCTCAGTCATTCATATAGGCACACATTTTTAAAATAGTGTTTTCCTTTTGTTTACTTCATTTACTCTGACAGATTTCCATATTATCTCTCCAGTGGTAGAAAATGATGTCTTGACCCCAGTTTCTGGCATTCAGGGCCTTTCAAATTCTGACTGCATTCCATTTTTCAAGGTGCTTTTCCATTTCTGTCTTTGTTAACAGTGTTTACTCTATTTATAATAGCCTTCCCTGCTATCTTTACCTTTCCAAATCCTTTTCCTCCATCAGTTTCAACTCTAATAATATCTCTTTCATTCAGATATATTAATAATAACTCAGAAACAGAACCCTCATGCCTTTCCCATCCAGCAGGTTGAGTGACTGGAGTTCCCCAAAATTGGACTTGGAAAGCCTTTTAAAAACTCCAAAAAGATTTAAAGGCAAATTGTAACAATAATCAAATAATACATTTCCTTTCATGCTAGTGAGTAAACCTCTCTTTTGGAATATGCCAGTGGATTATTTTAAAGAACTGTTTTGTTTTGCAGGAGTTGCTATCTACACTGGAATGGAAACTAAGATGGCATTAAATTACAAGAGCAAGTCACAGAAACGATCTGCAGTAGAAAAGTAAGAAAACTATTTTCATTTACTTACACATGAATATGTATTATTCATATATGTTTAAAATACTAGATTTATAAAAATATATATCAAACAAAAGATGGTATCCTTGAGAATAGAGATGTATACATGTAGCATTTTGCACAATGTTTGGCCTATAGTAGGTGTTACATTATGGCTTTCAAATAAATACTACTGGATAATATCAGAATCACTTGGTAAGACTAACCCTCCTGCAGATAGCAATTATAAAATCTGGACAAAATTTTTTTTACATAAACACGTATTTGAAAATACAAGAGAGTGACACAAAAGAGACAGAAAATGGCAGAGTCTACTCCTGAAAGGTGGCAGAAGCAAGGGGAAAGATTTAAGAGTGCAGATTTTTGCCTGAAGGCATTCCCCAATTCATGTGCTGCATAGGGCATCAGAGAGCCTGATCTTTACAAGATTTAAGCGCTAGAGGAGGTTTAAAGCTGGAAGAACAGCTAGACAGAGGAAAACCAGGTAAGGGAGGGAGCCACAGAAGGGAATGAACTCCAAAACCTGCACATAAATTATACCCAAATCTTTGGCTGACTGTTAGAACTATACATGTGCATAGGAGACCCCAGTGGGCTTGACAGAAAAACAGTATCAGGAAGCTGAAAGAACAGAACAGAGAATTTTGCTGTTGCCTGTTGCAGTGGAGATAGACTTTGATATTTGAGCCTAGCCAAGTTAACTTCTGCGAAAATGAAAATCAGCACTCTTCTGAGGAACATAAAAGAGTACAGAATCTGTACAACCAATTATTTATAAAATCCAATAATGTAATCAAAAATAAGTAGACCTGTAAAGAAAATGTGACTTTTATTTAAGAGAAAAAGCATTTGATAGAAACCGTCACCATAATGTTCTATATCTTGCAGTTGGCAGGTAAGGTCTATAGAGCAGATATTGTAAGTATTTTCAAGGGACTAAAGGAAGATGTGAATAAACATGTAAAATATCAGCAAAGAAATGGAAACTACAGAAAACAGTATGGAGTTTCCTCAAAAAGTTAAAAATAGAACTGCCCTATGATCCAGCAATTGCACTACTAGGTATTTACCCAAAGGATACAAAATTACTGATTTGAAGGGATACATACACCTTGATGTTTATAGTAGCATTATCAACAATAGGCCAGATTATGGGAAGAGCCCAAATGTCCATCAACTGATGGATGGATAAAGAAGAAGTGGTATATATACACAATTGAATATTACTCAGCCATAAAAAAGAATGAAATCTTGCCATTTGCAACAATGGGGATGGAGCTAGAGAGTAATATGCTAAGCGAAGTAAGAGAAAGATAAATACCATATGATTTCATTCATATGTGGAATTTAAGAAATAAAACAAATGAACACGGGGGGGGGGGGGGGGGGGGTGGGCAAGAGGCAAAGCAAGAAACAGACTCTTAAGTATAGAGAACAAACTGATGGTTACCAGAGGGGAGGTGGGCAGGGGATGGGTTAAATAGGTGATGGCAATTAAGAAGGGCACTTGTGGTGAGCACTGGGTGTTGTATGTGGGTGATGAATCACTAAATTCTACTCCTGAAGCTAGTGTTGCACTGTATGTTAACTAACTAGAATTTAAATAAAAAACTTGGGGGAAGAAATGGAACTATAAAAAAAAATTCAGTGGCTATTCTTGCACTGAAAATATAATTGCTGAAATGTAAGTGCCATTAGGTGGGCCCAACATCAGATAGAAGAAGGCAGAAGAAATTGTCGGTGAATTTAAAAAAGCAATAGAAATTATTCATTCTGCAGACCAGGGAGAAAAATGATTGAAGAAAAATGAACAGAGTTTCAGAGCCATGTGAGACAATACTAAGCTATCTATCTAATTGAGTCCAAAAGAGGAGAGAGTAAAAGGGGCAGAATAAAACTATTTGAAAAAATAATAATTGAAAATCTCTAAAATTTGAGAAAAAATAGAGTGGTAATTTAAATCCAACAAATCAAAATTTGTGGACTCAAGGCAAAGCCTAAGTTGGAGAGAAATTTTAGCTATAAATATATATATATATATATATATATATATATATATATGGAAGAAAAGCTTCAAATCAGTCATCTAAGTTTCTGCCTTATGAAGCTAGAGAAAGAGGAGCGATTTGACCCAATCAGAGAAGAGAGAACAAATATTAAAGATGTGAGCTGAAACCAGTAGAATAGAAAACAAATAATAGACAAAATTAACAAAGCCAAAACTTGGTTCTTTGGAAATATTAACAAAATTGGTAAATCTCTACCTAGATTAAGGGATTAAGGGGAAAAAGAAGTGGTAGGAGAGAAAACTACAAAATTACCAACATCAGGGATGAAAGAGAGGGTATCAGTATGGATCCTATCTACTGTGGTCACTTTATCCACAGGTAAAGAAATATTGTGAGCAACTTTATGTAACTACGTTTTTCAACTTAGATGAAATGGATAAATTCTTTGAAAATACAACTTACAACAGTTGATACAGGATGAAACAGAAAATCTAGATAGCCCTATTATCTATCAGAGATTTTATTTAAAAAAAAAAAAATGGTCCACACCAAAGGATAGTCTTTTCAACACACAGTGCTGGAACAATTGGATGTCCATATGCCAGAAACCAAACTTTAACCCTTACTTCCCACCATATAAAAAAACCAACTCGGGGGCACCTGGGTGGCTCATTCAGTTAAGTGTTTGCATCTTGGTTTCAGTTCAGGTCATGATGCCAGAGATGTGAGATGGAGCACCGCATGCTGAGTGCGGAGCCTCCTTGAGACTCTCTCCCTCTCCCCACTGCTTCTCTCTCTCTCTCTCTCTCATTCTCTCTCAAATAAATAAATAAATCTTTAAAAACGAACAAAAAACTATCTCAGAATATAAGACCTAAACATAAAAACTTAATCTATAAAATGTGGGAGAAAATATTTGTGACCTTGGGTTAAGGAAAGATTTCTTAGATAGGAAGCATACAAATAAGGAATCAAAAACAAAACCAAAACTTGATAAACTAAACTTCATCAAAATTAAAACTTCAGCACACCTGAAGCTAATATAACACTATGTCACTGTTTAAAAAAATAATAAAACTTCTACATTTCCAAAAGAACTGCTAAAAAAAGAAAATGAAAAGAGAAGCCACAGATTAGGAAAAATATTTACAAAGCACATATTTTGTAAGGACTCATCTCCAGAACATGCATGCATTTTCACCACTTCTTTTAAACATTATCCTAGAAGCCTTTTTCAGTGCCACAAGACAAAGAAATAAAAGGCATAAGTACTGGAAAATTGTCCTTACCAGAGGACACATGATTTTTCACGTAGACAGTTGTACACATTCAACAACAAAACTATTAGGATTAATAAGTGAGTTTTAGCAAGGTCAAAACTACAAAACATGGTGAGAGATGTTTATTTAATGGAGAAATCACATTAATAGATTGGCAGGCTCAGCACTGTTAAACTGTAGTTGATGTGAAGATTCTTTCAATACTAATTAAAATCCCAGCAAGCTTTTTTGTAGTAATTGACAAGATGATTCCAAAATACATATCCAGGGTGCCTGGGCAGCTTAGTCAGTTAGACATCTGACTTGATTTTTGCTTGGGTCATGGTCTCGGGGTCGTGGGATCAAGTCCTGCCTCAGGCTCCATGGTTGGCACAGAATGTGCTTGAGATTCTCCCTCTCCCACTTGTGCTGTCTCTCTCCCTCTCTCTAAAATAAATAAAATCTTTAAATAAATAAATAAAGTGCATATTGAAATGTAATAGCCCAAATGCATATGTAGAATGAATAAAGAAAACAGTCTCTTAAGAAAGCTGGAGAAGTTATATTATCTGACTTTAAGACAATATAACGGTACAGTAAATGTAGTACAGTATTAGCAAAAAAGATGTTTCAGTGGAGTTGAGAAATAGATCCATTTATATATGGTCAATTGATTTTCAGCCAAAGCATTAAGTAAATTCAATGAAGAAAATGAATATCTTTTCAATAAATGATGTAACAATAATTGGATATCCATGGGGGGGAAAATAATAAACCTCAATTCCTACCTCATATCATACATTAAAAATTTTTTGAAGATGGGTCATATACCTAAGTGTAAAGGCTAAAACTATAAAACTTTTAGAAGAAAACTTAGGAAGAAATCTTAACAACCTGGGGATACGTAAATATTTCCTAGGACACAAAACCAATAACCACAAAAGAAAAAATTGGTTAACTGTTCTTCCTCAAAATTAAAAACTTCTCACACTTCACAATTAAGGAAATGAACAGGGAAGCCACAAACTGAGAGACTATATTCATAAAACATATATCTGACAAAGAACTTGTATCCAGAATATACAATGAGCTCATATGTCTATAATAAAAAAAAATGCAATGAAAAAATGGCTATAAGACTGGAGCAGAGAAATTTTCACATAGAAAATACCCAGATGGCAAATAGACATACAAAAAAGTGTACAACATCATTAGTCATGAGAGAAATACAAATTAAAACTACAAAGAGATGCCTACCAATATATACTCAATGGAATGGCAAAAATTAAAAAGCTTAAAAGTTCCAAGTATTGGCAAGGATATGGAGCAGCTGGAACTCTTAATTCTAAATAATCAATGGGTCAAAGAGGAAATCTCAAAAGAACATTTTTTAAAATATCCGGAAGTTAATGAAAATACAGTATCAAATTTTATAGGATGAAGCTAAAGCACTGCTGAGAAGGAAATTTATAGCACTTGTGTTAGGGTTTTCCAGAGAAACAGAACCAGTAGGATATATATGGGCATATATAAGAGGAGATTTATTATAGGAGTTGGCTCACGTGGTTGTAGAGACCACAAAGTCCCATAGTCTGCCATCTGCAAGCTGGAGAACCAGGAAAGCTGATGTCATAATGCAGTCAGCATCCAAAGGCCTGAGAAAAAACCTGGAGCTCTGATGTCCCAGCTCAAGAAAAGAGAAAAAAATGGTCTTTTTTATTTCATTTGGGTCCTCAGTGATGATACCCACCTACATTGGTGAGGGCATGTCTCTCTACTAAGTCTGTTGAATCAAATACTATTCTCTTTCAGAAACACCCTCAAAGACACACCCAAAAATAATATTTTACCAGCTGTCTGGGCATTGCTTAACCTAGTTACCTTGACGCATAAGATTAACTATCACAGAACTAAATACTTACATTAGAAACACCAGGGGTGTCTGGATGGCTCAGTTGGTTAAGCATCTGACTCTTGATTTCAGCTCAGGTCATGATCTCAGGGTTCTGGGATCGAGCTCCACGGCAGTCTCTGCAGTCAGCTAGGAGTCTGCTTGAGGATTCTCTCCCTTTGCCCCTCCTGCTGCTCCTGCTTGCTCTCTCTCTAAAATAAATAAATAAATCTTTAAAAAAAGAAAAAGAAAAAGAAAAGAAACACCAAGGACAGAAACTGAGATTAAAAACAATACCATTTGCAATAAATAAAACATTAAAAAAAAGAAAAACAGTACCGTTTGCAATCATTCTCAAAAAGGGAAATACCTAATTGTACATCTAACAAAATACATACAGGATCTGTGTGCTGAAAATTACAAAACGCTGATGAAAGAATCAGAGATGCAATGTTCACCTTGCCTAGCGAAATACTATAATACCAAGCTTGCCTGGTGAAAAGAACAGGGATTCTAAAGTTAATTCCTGACTTGTGTGATTTTGGTAAACTTATAGAATGATTTTTGGGCTTTGATCTTCATCATTAAAAAGGATGTGATCTCACAGAGGTTTTACAAAGATTAGACAACTTAGTGGATGTAACAAAGTTTTGTAAAGTCTTAATACTACACAAATGTTAGTTATATTTACACTTAAAATTACCTGAAAGTGTAAAAAAATTTTAGAATAATTATGGCAAGAATAACTGGCCAAAGCTGTCATTTACTGGAAGCATTTTGAACAGTAATACTACTAATTCAAATAGGCTTATAATCCTATGTATTGGTTATTTTATCACTGGTAAATAGATTCTGTTGAATGGTCATTTCTTAAAATACGAAGACTGTTTCCTTTATTTTTTTTTAAATTGTATTATGTTAATCACCATACATTACATCATTAGTTTTATTGTAATGTTCCATGATTAATTGTTTGCGTATAACACCCAGTGCTCCATTCAGTACATGCCCTCTTTAATACCCATCACCAGGCTAACCAATCCCCCCACCCCCCTCCCCTCTAGAACTCTCAGTTTGTTTTTCAGAGTCCATCATCTCTCATGGTTCATCTCCCCCTCCGATTTCCCCCCCTTCATTTTACCTTTCCTACTATCTTCTTCTTTTTTTTAACATATAATGTATTATTTGTTTCAGAGGTACAGGTCTGTGATTCAACAGTCTTACACAATTCACAGCGCTCACCATAGCACATACCCTCCCCAATGTCTATCACCCAGCCACCCATCCCTCCGACCCCCACCACTCCAGCAACCCTCAGTTTGTTTCCTGAGATTAAGAATTCCTCATATCAGTGCGATCATATGATACATGTCTTTCTCTGATTGACTTATTTCGCTCAGCATAATACTGTCCAGTTCCATCCACGTCGTTGCAAATGGCAAGATTTCATTCCTTTATATGGCTGCATAGTATTCCATTGTGTATGTATACCACATCTTCTTTATCCATTCATCTGTTGATGGATATCTTGGCTCTTTCCATAGTTTGGCTATTGTGGACATTGCTGCTATAAACATCGGGATGCACGTACCCCTTCGGATCACTACATTTGTATCTTTGGGGTAAATACCCAGTAGTGCAGTTGCTGGGTCATATGGTAGCTCTATTTTCAACTTTTTGAGGAACCTCCATACTGTTTCCAGAGTGGCTGCACCAGCTTGCATTCCCACCAACAGCGTAGGAGGGTTCCCCTTTCTCCGCATCCCTGCCAACATTTGTTGTTTCCTGACTTGTTAATTTTAGCCATTCTGACTGGTGTGAAGTGGTATCTCATTGAGGTTTTGATTTGGATTTCCCTGATGTCGAGCGATGTTGAGCACTTTTTTATGTGTCTGTTGGCCATTTGGATAAGACTGTTTCCTTTAAATAGCTACCATGATATCTTATATATTTTTATCTCTTAATACCAGTATAAAATTTCCAGGCAGATGAATATAGTAACACATAATTGACATGTTTTATATTCTTTTTTTCCTTATTTCAGGTCAATGAATACATTTTTGATAATTTATCTAATAATCCTTATTTCTGAAGCCATCATCAGTACTATCTTGAAATATACATGGCAAGCTGAAGAAAAATGGGATGAACCTTGGTATAACCAAAAAACAGAACATCAAAGAAATAGTAGTAAGGTATTTTATGGTGTTCTTGACTCTGCTGTAAAGGAAACTTTATTCTTTGGCAGTTACTGATTCGATAGTGACTTCTGATAGGAGTGACCACTATAATCTAAAACCATTACTACTGAAGGGTGACAAAAAGACACTGTAAGTGAAGAGTGACCAGCATGTTTATACTGGTATGCTTTTTGCATTTTAGGGCATAAGCAATTGTATTCCATATGGCATGACTTGAATAGTTACAAGAGATCACAAAAATTTAAATCATCTATAATGGCATTCCCCTTCAAAACTACAAATTCAGTTTTTTATTCCATTTACTGTATGTTATAAAGTGAATGAAAAAAGTAAGTTGATTTTCAGTTCTGTCAGAATAATTCAAGGAGTCTGTCAGTCTATTGATGGTATGAAGTAATAACACAAAATACGTCATATTAAGTTTTAAACTGAATAAATATGGACTACCAGGAAAATTTAACCTGCAATTTTGGTAAATAATTATTCCCCAGATTGCACATTAGATTAAAATACAAGTATTGGAAGACAGATGTAGATCTCAAGAAACCACAAAGCAGATCACAGAACATATTTTCCCTATTATTCATAATTAGGTATTTTACCTTTCACAGAATATACATTAAAGTGTGATACTGCTATGCTATTGAAGTAAGCTATTACTATATAATCTAAGTGTTTTCATTGCCAGCAGTTCTGGTCTAGCAGTTCTTGAAATATTTTTTTTAAGTTGCAGTAAATTTGTAGTTACCTGTGATTTCAAAGGGTGGAAATGGAATGGTAAGTATACTCCAGGGGTTACAATTATAATTTTTTTTTTCTTGAGGTTGTTTCAGTCACACCAGGCTTTTTGGTAGCTTCTGAAAAGTAACAAGTAGTTCAAATTTAACCTTTTCTTCTTTTACTTTGTTCAAGATTCTAATGAACAATAAAATAAAAGAAATGTATTAAAGAAACAGTTCAAAAAATGAATTTCAATTCATGAGACTTCTGCTTCAGAATATAGTTGATGGTCTGTTTAGACTTGAAACTTTCTGATAATGTTCTTCAGTATTACTAAGGAAATTCTCATATGTTTTCTCTTATCAAACAATCATTTTTCTCCCTAGATTCTGAGATTCATTTCAGACTTCCTTGCTTTTTTGGTACTCTACAATTTCATCATTCCAATTTCATTATATGTGACAGTCGAAATGCAGAAATTTCTTGGGTCATTTTTTATTGGCTGGGATCTTGATCTCTATCATGAAGAATCAGGTCAGAAAGCTCAAGTCAATACTTCTGATCTGAATGAAGAGCTTGGACAGGTAAAAGGATCTTTTTATTGTGTTTTTCTAATTTGTTATTTTTCTTGAAACAGTCTATGTACAAAGAAAAACATTATGAAGCTTATACCAAAAAATAGCCCTACTTTCCTCCACACCTAACTCTTGTTTCCCTTTTTTTTAAAAAAAAAAAAGATTATTTGAGAGAGAGAGAGAGAGAACGAGCAGGGGGGAAGGGGAGAGGGAGAGGAGAAGCAGGCTCCCCACTGAGAAGGAGCCAGATATGGGGCTCGATCCCAGAACCCTGAGATCGTGACCTGAGCCGAAGGCAGACGCTTAACTGACTGAGCTACCCAGGCGCCCTTGTTTCCCATTTTTAAACCTGAAATCGTTTCTTCCATTGGTTAGCACTATATAGTATTCTTTCTTGATTTTTAAATTTTAGACATTTATTATGGGATATAAAGATATAATCTTATGCTACTGTTTTATATATATATACATACCCAGATATATACTCACTTTGCCTCCCCATAACCCCCTAATATTTTTATATCACAATTAGAGATTTAATAAATATTTATTTATTGACATTATTTTGACTCTTTTAGTATTGCTTACTAATTTCAAGTTCTTTAAGTGTGCCCTATGATACTATAATTACATTTTCTTTTTTATAATTTTCCCTAGAATTAATTGCTCTGTTTTTTCATGCTTAATTGCTCAAAGTTTCTGATGAATATATGAAACATCTCTCTACATATTGAAACACATCAGGTAATTTAGGATTTCCTTTCTCTTTCTCTCTTTCTCTTCTTTTGGTGGCAGCTTTTTTGGAGACTTCTGTCTTCTTCAGTATGGGCTTATGTCTGGGCCTGCTTCTCGGCTGTCACCCAAGGACTTCCCTTTACTATCACCCTAGAAATTCCTTTGCCTCTCTCCTGTTTTGGATCTCCTGGATCCTGTGTCAGCCCACCTAGGGCTTATTCTCTTATTTTGGTAGAACACATCTTCTAATAACTTCCTGGAAAAGGATGCATGAGAGGAAAATATTTTGAGGCTTTGCATGGCTGAAAATATCTTTATTCCCGTTTTTTTTCTTTATTCCTTTTTTGTACTTGATTAATAATTTAGCTGTATAATGCATCCCAGGTTGGAAATTAGTTTTAAGAGCATTTCTCCATTTTTTTCTAGCTTCCAGTGTTGCTGTTGAGAAATCCAGTGCCATTCTGATTCCCAGTTCTTTATGTGCGGTCTATTATTTTATCTCTGGAAGTGTTTAAGATCTTTACTTTATGTGATAATTCTGAAATTTCATGATGATATACCTAGGTGTGAGGTTTTTTTTTTCCTTTCATTGGACAATGAGCTCTGAGCGATTTCAGTCTAAAAACGTGTACTTCGATTCTAGGAATTTTTCTTATATTATTTCTTTGATAACATGTCTTTTTTTTTAAGTTAGTATTTGGATATCTCAGACCATTTATCTTGATTCTCTGATTCTTTGACTTTCAATTTTCATTTACTTGTTTATAATTCTGGGAGAATTTGTCAACTTTATCTTTCTACCTAACTTTTGGTTTCTTTTATTTCTGTTATAATACTTTTAATTTCTTTTTTTTTAAGATTTTATTCATTTACTTGAGAGAGAGAAAGTGAGAGAGAGAGAGCACAAGAGGGGGGAGGGTCAGAGGGAGAAGCTGAGCAGGGAGCCCAATGTGGGGCTTGATCCCGGGACTCCAGGATCATGACCTGAGCTGAAGGCAGCTGCTTAACCAACTGAGCCACCCAGGCACCCCTATTTTTAGTTTCTAATATTCCATTATATCTGAATAGTCTTCTTTTAATTGCATCTTACTCCTTTTCTTGAATATTATCTATTCTTTTAGTTCTCTGAGGATATTAATGATGGTTATTTAAAGTCTTCTGTTCCCTGCATTTTCTGTTTGCTCGTAGTTCCTTTTTCAATACAGTTAGTTCTGCTATAATGTGAAAAAGCAATCCTAAAAATTACTCTTCTATGTAAAGAAAGTAAAAGCCACAGGGCTAATGGGATTAGGAGTGCAACAAAAATTTCGTTAGTAACACCTTTAAAATAAATTGTTAAGAATTACATAAATACTGGGGTACCTGGGTGGCTCGGTCAGTTGGTTTTCCGACTCTTGATTTCTGTTCAGGTAATGATCTCAGGGTCCTGGGATCAGCCCCCACATGGGGCTCCACACTGGTGGTGAGTCTGCTTGAGGATTCTGTCTTTCCCTCTCTCTGCCCCACCCTCCCCATTCACGTGCGCACCTGCATGCGCTCACCCTCTCTCAAATAAATCAATCTTAAAAAAAAAAGAAATACATAAATACTATAATATATGTGGCATTTTGTCTTGAAAAAGACCAGAAGGTTAATTGTGGAAGTGACCATCAGAGAAGTGTTGCAACCTGTGTGTCATTGTGAAGTATTGAAAGGAAGGTTATCTGAAAATAGAAGTGGATGGCTGTGGCTTTTAACACCTATGGTGACCTGAGGTGGCTGGTAGCTGTTTGAGACGTGTACATTTCATGTGTTCCTTGTGTGTAGTTTGCTGGGATTTCTCACAGAGGAAATTGTGCATAACCAAATGCAAAGCCCACATTATGCTTAAATTGTTTTCTCATATATGAGTTACATTGTTATAGATTCATGTTTTCAAGACAGTGTTATAGCAGAACTGACTGTAATTTGTTTTAGACTCTACCTTTCTTTTAAGGGGTGATCCTCAAATGAATGCTAATCTTTGGTTTTCCTTACAAGCTTAAAAATTTTCTCTAGAAAAGCCTTGCCATCCAGTTGTTTTTTTGACATATTCCCTAGTGTCAGTATTGGTCTTTCCTCAGTTTCCCCAGAAAGAATGACTACAGTTAGTATCTCTGCTGCTTGTGATTGTTAGAGCCATCCAGTAGAAGTCTCCCTGTTTTTAGCGTACTGTCAACACTTCTGTTTTCAGCTGTCTCACCTGTTTTCAGCTTTCCATGGGGCTCAGATTCCCTTTGGTTCAGTCCCTTCTTAAAGAATAAACCTTCCAACTATTACTCAGATAGATGAAGGGCAGTCTCAGGTTTGCAAGTTATGAGGGGATTTCAGGTTTCAGACTGTTCCTGGTACCTTCATTTTCAGCCTCATCCTATGCTTTCACATTCAGTAGTAGCTGGTACATCTACTTCCTGCAAGTTTTTGGGAAAGGGTTTCCCCCATTGCTTAGGTTTCATATTCTAAGTTTTGTTAAGTCACTTGCTACTCATTCATCTCCTTTCCATCTTCCAAACTTGTCATATCTCCCTTTTCATGTTCTCATCTACCATTATTTTTGTTCTTTTTTTATTCCTTTACTCTTATTTTAGTAAAGTCTCAAGAGGAACAGAGATAATTGTATTTGTTCAACCTACCATTTTTAACCAGAAATTGATCCATTTATTTTTAGCATTTAAGAGACTTTAGTAATTTATGCTAAATATTAATTCATGTCACATTTCTTTAATTATGTATCACCTATTCAAAACCTAAAAACATAGCCTGTTTTTAGTGCTTCTTTGAATACATTTTTTTCCCATTTTTTTCTTTACTTTGACCTTTTCTATCCCAGTTTTCCCTTCTTCCTCTTTTCTTCATGTTAGAATATTGTTTTTCTGGAACCTCACACTGTTTATGCATATACTCCTACTTGCTCTCTCTATAAGAAACTTTAAATGATAACTTTTTAAAATTTATAATTCATCTAAGTCTCTCTTTTTACTTTTAAGCCTGCAAGTATTTCATAATATGTTTATTGCCTCTATTCTTTTATCTGTTTTTATACCAATGAAATCTACTTTGTCATATTCTGTGCCCTTTCATTTCCATACTGTAGAAGAAACTGCTCTTATGATGGTGTATAGTGCCCTCTCTATAACTAAAGTTAAGAGTTAAAACTTGATTTTATATATATTTTTATTTATTTTTTAATATTTTATTTATTTATTTGATGGGGGGGCAAAAAAAGGGAGAGGGAGAAACAGGCTCCCTAGCAGGGAGCCTGATGTGGGGCTCAATCCCAGGACCCTGGGGTCATGACCTGAGCCAAAGGCAGACGCTTAACCCGCTGAGCCACCCAGGTGCCCTGTATATTTTTAAATATCAAAGTAATTTCTTTTATTTATCTCTGTCTAAATTCTAAAGAGTCCTCCATGACTGATAGGTCTGTGTCTATTCTAATCATCTTCGAAATATTATTTCTCTCTGACTGCTGATGTATTTTATATCATAATTTTTTATACCTTATTCTTACTATTCTTTCTGATCTAAAAGTTTTTTATTAACTTGTATAGGTAAGTGACATCTCTGTGTATCCATCTTTATAATTCAACATTTGCCATAAGTAGTGGGCAGTCTTTAATACCCCATAGCAAAGATAAAATAATTCTTTTATTTCTAATTTCACCATTTGCTAGCTCTGTGACTGGGTAAGTTATTTAACCTAACTCTTCCTTTGTTTCTTTTTCTCTAAAATATACATAATAATAGTACCTGCCTCATGGAGTTGTTGAGAGGATTAAATGAGTTAGGACACTTAGCAGTGCTGGCAATATAGTGGTTGCTGTACAATTATTGGCTTTTATTATTATTACTTTACATAGCAGAATTCCTACATCTCAGGTGTTGTAGTTATCTTTACTATTTGCAAGAAAATGAACTTTAAGGTATATTTTCTCGCTTTATTTCTTGGTCCTAACAATTTTTTCCGGTTTTAACTCTGCCTCCCTTTTTGTATGTTGAGCTTTTTATTCTGCAGTCCTGCTGAACTCATTTATTAGTTCTAGTAGTTTTTTAGTGGATTCCTTAGAAATTTCTATATACAAAGTCGTGCCATCTACAAATGGTTTTACCTCTTTTCTAATCTAAATACCTTTTATTTCTTTTTTCTTGCCTGATTACCCAGGCTAGAACCTTCAGTACAATGTTGAATAAAAGTGGCAAGAAGAGACATCTTTGCTTTATTCCTGAACTTAGTTTAAGGGAAAGCATTCAGTCTTTCTTCATTAAATAGGATGCTAATTATGGGGTTTTGTAGATACATTTTATCAGGTTTAAGAAATAGCCTTCTATCCCTAGTTTGTTGAATGTTTTTATCATGAAAGAGTATTGGATTTGTTAAATGCTTTTCTTGCGTCTGTGAAGATGATCATTTTAATAAAGGAATAAAGAATAAGTACCAATGTATTATTGTGGTAGGTTTCATTGACTGATTTATGTTGAACCTATCTTGAATTCCAGGGATAAACCCCACATATTCACGGTATATCTCTTTTGTATATGTTCCTAGATTTAGCTTGTGTTTATTTTCACAAGGGGTATTGGTCTATAGTTGTTGTTTTTCCTTGTGATGTGTACCTCCCTTTTTAAATGATAACTTTCTCAGATCACTGTTGCATTAATCAAATCCTCACCACAATCCTAGTTGTATCAAGACTTGACTATTTCATCCTTCTCTTTTTGGACCTACCTTCTTATAGGGTTAATTTTCCAGAATTAGTCTCAAAAGAGTAGTAAAATTATTTGTCTTACCTACTTTTAAAAAAAATATTTTCATTTAGGGGCACCTGGGAGGCTCAGTCGGTTAAGCATGTCTTCCACTCAGGTCATGATCTCAGGGTCCCGGGATCAAGTCCCGCATCGGGCTCCCTGCTCAGCGGGAGCCTGCTCCTCCCTCTCCTTTTGTCCCTCCTCCCTGCTTGTGCTCTCTCTCTCTGTCTCAAATAAATAAAATCTTAAAATATTTTTTTTTCATTTAAACACTTTCCTTCTCCCTGGAGTTTGTTTTCTACCCTTGGTTTCAATTTCCTCCATCTATCTAATATCTTAGACAACTTTCCATCTCTGACTTCTTGTGTTGCTATCACTTTGTGTCCCTGATCCCAGTTCTGTACCATTTCCTCTGGACCACATACCATTTCACATTTCTAGGTTATTAAGCATCCCTTCCACCCTTGCTCAAAGATCATTCTTGGTCCTACTGCTTCAAAACACCTTATCCAGGAGATGGAAAAAAATATTAATCCCACATTATCAGTCAGCTGTACATGTGAACATGCACCTAAAAATGCCACAAACTTCAAAGTTTATAAAGATTTGAAATATTTTATGTTATCCTGTTTTGTTTCTGTGCATCTTTATTTATTTGTGCTCAGATTATAAAAAAATCTCAGCATCGGTATACTAATGTTAGTAAGTAAGCTTGACTTTAGGGGACAGAGGAGGACAAGGTTTTTTTGTTTAACATAGGACCATAAACACAAAAGTTTGTTTTCTTTTATCTTCCATCTCTAGGTGGAGTATGTGTTTACAGATAAAACTGGTACACTGACAGAAAATGAGATGCAGTTTCGGGAATGTTCAATTAATGGCATAAAATACCAAGAAATCAATGGTAGACTTGTATCTGAAGGACCAACACCAGACTCTTCAGAAGGAAGCTTATCTTACCTTAATAGTTTATCCCATCTTAACAACTTAACCCATCTTACAACCAGTTCTTCTTTTAGAACCAGTCCTGAAAATGAAAGTGAACTGGTAAGCAACTTTTAAATTAATAAATTGGAATTTCATTTGAAAGAATTCTCTTTGGTAGTTACTGGGGTAGGAGAAAAAATTTAAGTGTCAGTGGGGCAAGGAATATGTACTTGAAATGTATATCCTTTGATTCAGCACTGAGAATTTGTAGTCACGACCCAGTTTAACTTGCAAATTAATATGTGTCTGCCTTAGTTCTCTGAGTATTTAAATGAGACTAAGTGGAGAACCCTTACTGCCTTGAAGTAAAGAAGAAAAGAAGACTTTGCTAAGAAATAGAACTTAAAGCTGCCATCTTGCGTCCCCGCGTGTGTGCACCTAATCTCAGCTGGTCCGCCCGAGACCCCCTGAGCGCCAACCCTATTCCCCCGCGCGGTCCCATTTCCACTCCAACAAGATGAAAGAAACTATCATGAACCAGGAGAAACTCGCCAAGCTGCAAGCACAAGTGCACATTGGTGGGAAAGGAACTGCTCGCCGAAAGAAGAAGGTGGTTCATAGAACGGCTACAGCAGCTGATAAAAAACTTCAGTTCTCCTTAAAGAAGGTAGGGGTAAACAATATCTCTGGTATTGAAGAAGTGAATATGTTCACAAACCAAGGAACAGTGATCCATTTTAACAACCCCAATGAACTTTGGCATCACTGGCAGCGAACACTTTCACCATTACAGGCCATGCTGAGACAAAGCAGCTGACAGAAATGCTACCCAGTATCTTAAACCAACTTGGTGCAGACAGTCTGACTAGTTTAAGAAGACTGGCTGAAGCTCTGCCCAAACAATCTTGTGGATGGAAGAGCACCACTTGCTACCGGAGAGGATGATGATGATGAAGTTCCGGATCTTGTGGAGAATTTTGTTGAATCTTCCAAGAATGAAGCAAACTGAATTGAGTCAACTTCTGAAGAACATAAAACTTGAAGAAGTTACTGGGAGCTGCTATTTTATATTATGACTGCTTTTTAAAATTTTGTTCATGGATCTGATAAAATCTAGATCTCTAATATTTTTAAGCCCAAGCCCCTTGGACACTGCAGCTCTTTTCAGCTTTTGCTTATACACAATTCATTCTTTGCAGCTATTTAAGCTGAAGAAGCCTGGGAATAAAGTTTGAAACAAGGTTAATAAAGTTCTTTGCCTAGGGAAAAAAAAAAAAGAAATAGAACTTAAATGTATTTAATACTTTTTGAGATCTCACTTTTTCCACAGAAGAGTTTTCATCTTTACTTACAATTTGGCTATGTTTCCTAAAAAGATACTCTTATGTTGAAGGGTTATAAGCAATTTTACTCTGTGGAGTCAGAAGCAACCAGCTAGCATTCAGGCAGTTCAGGATTGTAGCACTCCTGTTGTAGATCTAAGATAACCAAATTATTAACTGTATTTATTGACATTTTTTCGAATTCTGCTTACAGTTTACTAAATGTTACTTGGTAATGGTATTTTTATTGAGAATATTATCTTTCTACAGATTAAAGAACACGATCTCTTCTTTAAAGCAGTCAGTCTCTGTCACACTGTACAGATTAGCAATGCTCAGACTGATGGCATTGGTGATGGTCCCTGGCAGTCCAACTTTGCACCCTCCCAGTTGGAATACTATGCATCTTCACCAGATGAAAAGGCTTTAGTGGAAGCTGCTGCAAGGTAGTTTGATCTAATTTCCAAATCTTCAGAAAAACACCTTTTAAATGAAAATGTGCATATACTAGAAAATTAGTTTAAATTGTCAGACAAAATTCATAAACACATAAGGTAGAAGTGCACTTTAAATTGTAAATGAGAATTTTATATATGTTATTAATTTTGTTGTCAGGCTTGCATTGAATCATATTTTGAAGAGATCTTTAAAAATCTGGTTACTACGAAATATAAAGAATATAATTTGTGAGAAATACTTGTGTATGTATTGTTTTGAACCTACTCTGATTCTTCACGTTCTTAAAAACAATGCCATATTCAAAGAAACATTTTAAAATACATCTTAAATGTATACTTTAAATATTTTTATTCATGCTAAGTTATAATGACATATTATGAAACTTGAAATATCATCCTTAAATCTTATATTTCTTTATCTTTTAATTCCTAGAATTGGCATTGTATTTATTGGCAATTCTGAAGAAACTATGGAAGTTAAAACACTTGGAAAACTGGAACGGTAATTTTTTTCTATACTGTAGTTTTCTATGTATTTAATATAGAACAGGAATCTGTAAACTATGGCCCATTAGTCATATCTGACCTACAGCTGGCTTATACAGCCTGCAAACTTCATTACGTTGTTGAGAGGTTGTTTTCGTTTTGTTTTTTTTTTAAATGCAACAGAGACCATATATGGCCTGCAAAGCCTAAAATATTTACTATCTGGACCTTTATAGAAAAAGTTTACTGACCCCTGCTCTAGAATGATCTAATACTATGTTTACTTCATCACAGTAATAACAATATCCTACTCTGACTCTTTCGTTTGTATTTTAGCTTAATGTTTCTTGAATTTACTCATATGTTTATTTTTATACACTCCTGGGGTAATGAGTTTCATGAGTTTTCTATAAATAAAAATTTCTTCATATTTCCTATGATTTTATTTTTCAAACATTAAGGAACAACTGCCTATTTCCAATATTTACACTGCTTGATAAATTAGTCCATTCCTATTCTATTCATACCTTTCATGGTTTTACCAATTCCAGTCATATGTCAACTCCAGCTGTCCCTTTCCAAACTGTGCTTTTCCAAACTAAAATAGAGCTCGTTCTTTGCTATTTTCATGTAGAAGCCTGTCTAGCTCATTTCATCAACTTATGAACCATCATCCCACTGTTTTTTTTTTTGAGATGTATACATCATTATGTATGTATATCACTATATAAATCTATCCAGAAAACTTCAAGCCACACCTGACCTATCCACACACACTCTTTTACTACTCCTTATAAAGGCATTTGTTCCCCCACCTCTATATAACGTTCACCGTGTCAGGTTCAGAATCACTGCTATAATAATCCTCTGTTACTAATGTGAGTGTGTTATATTTCTTAGGTATGTTTGGGCAGAAAAGAGGGTTGAGAATCAATTACCTTTTTTAGTGAGAAAAACGTGAAGCTGGGCAGATCTGGATTCCAATCCTTGCTGTGCCACTCACAAGCTTATTTGACTTTAGGAAAATTACTTAATCTTTCTGAGTTTAATAGTCCTCATCTGTAAAATGAGATAAGACCTACCTTCTTTGGTTCTCATGGGTATTAAATGACATAAGGTATGTAAAGTACATGGCATTTGGTAAGTACTCAATAAATGTCAGTTCCTTCTATTTCTATCTTGTGTTGTTATTAATGATTCATAACCCATCTTGAAAATGTAGTTGAGATTAATTTCTTGTTCTAAATCTTACTTTTATAGGTGTTCTTTTCAAATATTCACTTAATATTATTCAAAAAAAGTAAGCTTTTGGTCTTATTTTTTTCCTTAGGTACAAACTGCTTCATATTCTCGAATTTGATTCAGATCGTAGGAGAATGAGTGTAATTGTTCAGGCACCTTCAGGTAACCTATCTAAACTTCTATGAATTTTTATTTATCTAATATTAAGAGTTTGATAACTGATTTTTCTTTTTAGGTGAGAAGCTTTTATTTGCTAAAGGAGCTGAATCATCAATTCTTCCTAAATGTGTAGGTGGAGAAATAGAAAAAACCAGAATTCATGTAGATGAATTTGCTTTGGTGAGTGTAAATCTCTAAGATATATAAAACTCTAAAAGATATACATATGAAAGATTTAAGGCTTCATTTTTGCATTAGTAATTTATCAAAAAGTATAGAATTTCTGCAGATCTGTTACATTATGTGTTGGCTTCTACATTCTTTGGTTAAAAATTGACTTTTAACCTGCTAAAATACAAGTCTTTTCTTTGAAACTGTTACAGCCAGGGCTTTTTTGGCTGCAAAGACCATTCAAATTAATATATTAAAAAGAGGAGTTTACTTAAAGAATATAGGGGAATCCCAAGCATGTGGAAATAATGGAACCTTTGTACATTGCTGGTGGGATTATAAATGGTACAAACACTTTAGAAAATACTTTAACGGTTCCTTATAAAACATAGAATAATATAGTTACTATATAACCCAGGAGTTCACTGCTAGTTATATACCCAAGAGAACTGAAAACATATGTTCACACAAAAAGTTAAAAGCATTCCTAAATAGGCAAAAGGTTGGAAATATTTGAATGTCCATCAGCTGATGCATGGATTAAGTAGTATGTCATATTCATATAATGGAATGTTGTTTGGCCATTAAAAGAAATGAAGTACTCATATGCTGTAACATGGGTGAACCTTGAAAAATTCCTATGCGTAGTGAAAGAAGCTAGTCACAAAAGGTCCCATGTTCTGTTTATATGAAATATCCACAATAATGGAATTTATAGGGACAAAAAGCACATTAGTGGTTACCAGGGGCTAGAGGAAAGGGTAAAAGGGAAGTGTCTGCTAATGGATATGGGATTCCTTTTGGGGGTGATGAAAATGTTCTGAAATTAGATAGTAGTAATAGTACAACTCTGTGAATACACTAAAAAACCACTGACTTGTACTCTTTAAAGGAGTAAATTTTATGGTTTGTGAATTAGTTCTCTCTTACTAGAAGAACATAGGAGAATCTTACGAAAACACAGTGCTACAATTCATGTGAAGAGGAAAATTTTTAGGCAGCTCTTAAGAACTCATGATCTCTCATTTCTGCATTTCTGTAAATGATTGCTCTATACTCATCTCTACCCACCTGCCTCCTTTACTTACATATGGTTTATTTTCTCCCATTACTTGTTTCCTAATTGTTTATGATCTGGTTCATCTATCACACTGTAACATCCATGAGAACAGAGACATTGTTCTACCTTACACTCATTTTAATCCAGAACAATACTGGCACATAGTTGGCATTCAGTAAATATTTGTTTTAAAATGAATTAGTTTCCTATATTAATAACTCTCATGGTCCCTTAACTGTTGTTTAAGAAAAACAGTTATTTATAGGTGTGGGTCATTTGTAAATCAAGGAACATCAATATTTAGAAATCTGAATAGTATCATGTAGTATTTTAAAATGTACCTTTTCCAAGTTCTGTTATTAGAATATTTATTTTGGGGGGTGCCTGGGTGGCTCAGTCAGTTAAGCGTCTGCCTTCGGCTCAGGTCATAATCCCAGGGTCCTGGGATCGAGTCCCGCATCGGGCTCCCTGCTCAACGGGAAGCCTGCTTCTCCCTCTCCCACTCCCCCTGCTTGTGTTCCCTCTCTCGCTGTCTCTCTCTCTCTCTGTCTGTCAAATAAATAAATAAAACATTTAAAAAATATGTTTATTTTGGGTTTTTCTGAGGAGAATGTACAGTAAGAGAAGGAACTTGTATAGCTCTTAGCTGTAGATACCAACTTTCAAATAGTAGCACCTAAGAAAAATTTATGCCCAGGAGAATCAGATAATCGAATATATATTCCTAAGTGTTGTGTAATTCTATTTCACCAGTGAAGTTATATAATGATACAGTTTAAAATCATTTGGTGACTATAGAAAGTATTGTTTATTTGACTTTATTATTTGAACTGTAAATTCATTATACCATAAACTCTCAGGAAATTATGGTCCCCTTTGCTTAAAAAATTTTCTTATGAAGTATATAAAAGTGGATTTGTAAGTGTTAAAACAAGAGTAGAACCTGGGGCTGCCTCTCTCTTGACAGTCCTGAAGTTACCCCTATAAAACTTTCTGACTTTCCAGGTAAAACAGTTTTAAAACCACAGTGAGATAATCTTTATGATCCTGTCTAGGCTTTAATATGCTACAATTTAAAAACTTTAATTATTTTGAGCAACTTTTGAGAACGCATCAGAAATTAAAAGAGCTATGATAGTATGCGTCCCATAACTCAGGTCATGAGGGCTTTGTGACACTTCATTTATTTCCTATTACTAAATGATAGTACTTTTTAAATTTTGTGATTGATTTTTGGTAAGGCATCCTCAGTTTATTTCAGTGACTTCTTGATTTCCCATTAGTTATTTTTGTTCAATTTTTGTCTTTAATTTTTCTGTTTTAGAAAGGGCTGAGAACTCTGTGCATGGCCTATAAACAGTTGACATCTAAAGAGTATGAGGAAATAGATAGACGTCTGTTTGAAGCCAGGACTGCCTTGCAACAACGGGAAGAGAAATTGGCAGATGTCTTCCAGTTCATAGAGAAAGACCTGATATTACTTGGAGCTACAGCAGTGGAAGACAGGTAAGCATCAAACAGGCAATATCCTTTTTCTCATGTAAGAATTTTCTTAGCCAAGTATTTCTAATTTATGACATAAATTCCATTTATTAACATCCTATAATAATGTATTTTAAATCAAAATAGAGAGTTAAAGCCTTATTTTTCCCAATCAGTATATACAATTTTTACTCTAGCCAGATATCTTAAATAGATGAAAGAATTCTGCTATGTACAGTTTTGCCTATAGGCTTGAATTTTTAGAGTACTCCTCAGTGTGCCATACAGAGGCTTTAAACGCCTGCTTAATTCTCCAGTGTCATTTCTCACCTTAATTCTCCAGCGTCATTTCCCACCACTGCCTGCTTCCACTTTCTGCTTCAGCAGTACCAAGCTGTATGTAGTTCTCTGAACAACTGTAGTTAAAACTATTCTATTTTGTGCCTTTGTTCTTTGGCAAGGCTGTTCCTTCTGCCTGGATAATTTTTCCTTTATCCATTTGTGAATGTCTTTACAAAGTATAGCTCAGATAGTACCCCCACTCCAGTAAGACCTTTCCTTACCACTAATAGGATTAAAAATTCTCTTCTTTGTGAAGTATTCATGTTTTGTAGATAGTTCTATGTTGTTTTTGTGGCAGTACATTACAATTATTTCTTTAAAGACTTTCTTCTCATTAGTTTGTGAATTCCTTGAGGTCCATTTAGTCTTTGTTCCCCACCCACCTGTCTCTACTAAGAGTGTTTGTATTTTTTAAAATTTAGGTTTTCATTTACCTTTCATTTGGCCTCATGAGATTTCTGAGACTTACCTGAAATTACATCATCCTTTATTGTCCATAATTTGATTTTTAAACTACTGATACAAAAAATTTTCTTATGAAAAAAGAGAAAAATCTAATTTCAAATTTAAGACTTTCTAAATACGAGTTTATGAAGACCATATATTTAGTTTGGTTCTATAAAAATCAACTTTGAAGATAAATTCTTAAAATATAAAGTTATAGATGTTATATTAACCAGATGATCACTAATTTGATTATTCCTTTTTCTTCCCTAGTGGGAAAAAAATCAGTTATATCACTATACTATAACATTTTTAAGTCAGGGAGTCTAGAATTTACCTTACATGTACTATCTGGTTTATATTTAAAATGGTCAAAGATGTATTCTCTACTGCTAATGTTGTTTCTTTTATTTTCAGGCTGCAAGATAGAGTTCGAGAAACTATTGAAGCATTGAGAATGGCTGGTATCAAAGTATGGGTACTAACTGGTGATAAACATGAAACAGCTGTTAGTGTGAGTTTATCATGTGGACATTTTCACAGAACCATGAATATCCTTGAACTTATAAACCAGAAATCAGACGGCGAATGTGCTGAACAATTGAGGCAGCTTGCCAGAAGGTAAGAATGTAATTATCTGATGAGTTCAAGGGTCATCAAACTATGGCTCATGGGTCAAAGATGGCCCATTGCCTGTTTTTTATAGCCCATGAGCTCAAAATAATTTTTACATTGTTTAATGGAAGAGAAAGAACCTAAAGAAGAGTAATATTTTGTGATGTGAAACTTAGGAAATTCACATTTAAACGTCTGTAAGTAAAGTTCTGTTGAAACACAGGCACATTAGTTCATTTACATATCATCAGTAAAAGATTTTACACTACGATAGCCTGGTTGGATAATTGTGACAGAGACCTTATGAAGCACTTTTATAATTTCTCACTGCTGCTTGATTTACTGCAGATTACAGTGACACCATTCTAAATCAGTAGCGTTTTGAGTGCCACCCATATTGCCCTATGACATTTTACTGCATTTTTATTATCAGTATTTATCCATCATGTCCAAACAAAAGAAAAATGGACTTTTAATATACTTTTAATGCACAGTGAAATATTGATTATTTTATCAAATTAGATGGTATTGTATTTATTAATCAGTGACACTTTATTTTTTTTTCCACCTTCCTGAACTTTATTAAAGAAAAAGCAATGATGGTAAATCTTCAGAACATAGTCAATTTTCTAGGATTCTTCCCTTGAAAATGTGACATTTGATTTCCAAACACATGCCAGAGCATACATGGTTCCCAGTTGTATTAAGTAGGTGAGAAGCTGAAATCCTAAAATGTTCATCTTCCAACTTTCCGCAGTCTGTGGTCTGTCTTTGGATCAGCAATAATTGCTTGAACAGCTACTATGGCTTCATTAATTTTTGTCTGTAGCTCTCTGAGCTCTTCTATATGCAGCAATCACAGAATTTGAGCAGCTTCATTAAGAACTGCATCTCCTGCGTCAGAACCAAGAATATGTTTGTCTAAAGCAACAGGCAAGCCCTCTTTCATTTGATTTGCTTTAGCAACTGCATCCTGGGTCAGGCGCTCCTGGACCAAAATGCGAATTGCCTTAAGCATTACCAGGTAATCATCATGACACTGAATCTGAAGAAGGTTAGCCAAAGCCATTACACCAGCCTTAAAATCAGGATTATTTACATCCAAGTTGATCAATGGCTCTGCATTTTTAGCTGCATTGTCAGCACTTTTTGTATTATCAGGTACCAAGTCCTTGTATTTTTCAGCATTATCTCCATATTCAAGTCTAACAGCTAAACCAAGAAGCCAGTTAATTGCTTCTTGTCGATCTTGAATCTTGAAAGGACAGTTAACATCTTTGAGATACTTTTCAAAGAACTTGGGCCAGTCACTGCTGTGGATGTTTCTTAAATTACCTCTGTCTTCAATCTTGTAGTGTCTGATTTTCTGGTCTTCAAGCCAAACAATAAAGTTTCTAAATTCTGTTTCATCTTTGCAGTTGAAGCCAGCCGGGTTGTGGTAGTCGAGGGCCGTCAGCTTGCGTCGGAACATGGTCCCTGCATCTCGCTCTGGTCCCCTGGGCTTCAGCCGGGAGACGACACTTTATTTTTTTAATTTTATTTTATTATGTTAATCACCATACATTGCACCATTAGTTTTTGATGTAGTGTTCCATGATTCATTGTTTGCGTATAACACCCAGTGCTCCATTCAATACATGCCCTCTTTAATACCCATCACCAGGCTAACCCATCCCCCCCACCCCCCTCCCCTCTAGAACCCTCAGTTTGTTTCTCAGAGTCCATAGTCTCTCATGGTTCGTCTCCCCCTCTTGATTTCCCCCCCTTCATTTTTCCCTTCCTACTGTCTTCTTTTTTTTTTTTTAACATATAATGTATTATTTGTTTCAGAGGTACAGGTCTGTGATTCAACAGTTCTTACACAATAGTGACACATTAATATACTACCCGTTTGAAAAGACATATTCAAAAATATAAAATCTCATTAAAGATATTTCTATTGTGTTAAAATGTAAAATCTCGTTATAGATCATCATTAAGAGGTAGACATTTGCAATTGATATTGATGATAGGGAGCATTAACTTTAAACCCCAATTAACCAAATTTTATCCTCCCACCCCCAAAGAAAAGATTTCCATTCTTCTCATTGGTAGATTTATGTTATTTACAAAATTGTGCTCAATTAGTATTACTATATTTTTTTACTTAGTCAATAAAAATTTTTGTCAAAATCTGTTTTCTCTCTTTTAATATCTTGGCTCACAAAACCAAAAATTGAAATATTTACTCCTGTCTCTTTACAGAAAACACTTGCCAAATCTTGATCTAGTTTATATGACTAAACTGGAAAATGAATCTGCATTTTATTGTTCAGAGATAATTACCCAAGTATTTACACTCTAAATTCATTTTCTTTTTTTCTAAGTCTGTTTTTTGTAGTCAGATCAACTTTATTTAGGAGCTCCCTTTAACATTCTGATTTTTCTCAGTAAATTAGGATTGCTTCCGTTAAGCAGCAGGGGTGCTCATATGTAGGTATCTTAGGTCTCCTACAGGTACCTGTCATTTGTGGTCTTGTGATGCTAATACAGAAAAAGAAATGTGAAAAGACTGTGCCACAGTTATCAGTGTATTTTCAGAGCTTTATTCACATTTGATATGCAGGCACTGATGTGGTACTAAACTCAATTTCACCAAAGGAAAACTTATTTAAGGAATGTTTTAAAGAGACAGTACAACTCTCAGAAGGTTCTTTGTTTGGAATTCAAAAACGGGGTTGATCTAGGTAATTATACTATAGCTTGGGAGTAGCGACAACACCATTGTGGCTGCTTAAACATTTAAGTACCATAATGTCAACAAGAACTCCCTAAAACATAGAAATTAATTGCTCAGAATCATTTACTTTATATATGCTTTCTAAAATATTAATTCTGATTTTAAAAGTAATAAGTGTCCATTTAAAAAATGCTGAAAATGATAAAGAAGAAGATACCTCAGAATAAACCTAACCAAAGAGGTAAAAGATCTATACTCTAGGAACTACAGAACACTCATGAAAGAAATTGAAGAAGACACAAAAAGATGGAAAAACATTCCATGCTCATGGATCAGAGGAATAAACATTGTTAAAATGTCTATGCTGCCCAGAGCAATCTATACCTTCAACACCATCCCGATCAAAATTCTAATGACATTTTTCTAAGTGCTGGAACAAACAATCCTAAAATTTGTATGGAATCAAAAAAGACCCTGAATCGCCAAGGAAATGTTGAAAAAGAAAAACAAAGCTGGGGGCATTATGTTACCCGATTTCAAGCTTTATTACAAAGCAGTGATCACCAAGACAGCATGGTACTGGCGCAAAAACAGACATATAGACCAATGGAACAGAATAGAGAGCCCAGATATGGACCCTCAACTCTATGGTCAAATAATCTTCGACAAAGCAGGAAAAAATATGCAATGGAAAAAAGACAGTCTCTTCAATAAAATGGTGCTGGGAAAATTGGACATCTATATACAGAAGAATGAAACTCAACCATTCTCTAATACCACACACAAAGATAAACTCAAAATGGATGAAAGACCTCAACGTGAGACAGGAATCCATCAAAATCCTAGAGGAGAACATAGGCAGTAATCTCTTTGACATCGGCCGCAGCAGCTTCTTTCAAGAAACATCTCCAAAGGCTAGTGAAACAAAAGCAAAAATGAACTTTTGGGACTTCATCAAGATAATAAGCTTCTGCACGGCAAAGGAAACAGTCAGCAAAACAAAGAGGCAACCCACAGAATGGGAGAAGATATTGCAAATGACACTACAGATAAAGGTCTGGTATCCAAGATCTGTAAAGAACTTCTCAAGCTCAACACCCAAAAAACAAATAATCCAGTCAAAAAATGGGCAGAAGACATGAACAGACACTTCTCCAAAGAAGACATACAAATGGCTAACAGACACATGAAAAAATGTTCATCATCATTAGCCATCAGGGAAATTCAAATCAAAACCACATTGAGATACCACCTTACACCAGTTAGAATGGCAAAAATTGACAAGGCAAGAAACAACAAATGTTGGAGAGGTTGTGGAGAAAGGGGAACCCTCTTACAGTGTTGGTGCGAATGCAAATTGGTACAGCCAATTTGGAAAAGTGTGGAGATGCCTCAAAAAATTAAAAATAAAGCTAACCTATGACCCAGCAATTGCACTACTGGGTATTTACCCCAAAGACACAGATGTAGTGAAAAGAAGGGCCATAGGCACCTCAATATTCATAGCGGCAATGTCCGCAATAGCCAAACTGTGGAAAGAGCCAAGATGCCCTTCAACAGATGAATGGATAAAGAAGATGTGGTCCATATATACAATGAAATATTACTCAGCCATCAGAAAGGACGAATACCCAACTTTTACATCAACATGTATGGGACTGAAGGAGATTATGCTAAGTGAAATAAGTCAAGCAGAGAAAGTCAATTATATGGTTTCACTTATTTGTGGAACTTAAAGAATAGCATGGAGGACATTAGAAGAAAGGGAAAAATGGAGGGGGGGGAATCGGAGCGAGAGACGAATCATGAGAGACTATGGACTCTGAAAAACAAACTAAGGGTTTTAGAGGGGAGGGGGTGGGGGGATGGGTTAGCCCGGTGATGGGTATTAAGGAGGGCACATACTGCATGGAGCACTGGGTGTTATACGAAAACAATGAATCATGGAACACTATATCAAAAACTAACGATATATTGTATGGTGACTAACATACATAATAAAATAAAGTAAAAGTTAAAGATATGATGGAACATAACATAATAATACAGCCATCTAAAGATAATTATTGTATTTTAGAATGTTTTCTTCAAGTCTTCTATATATGTGCTTTTAGTGAATCTGTTAAGATTAATGGATATTATTTTTTCCCCTTTTTGTTCAAAAGCTATATTATAAACACTACAGTCTTTTTTTAGGCTTGCTATATGAAGTTTATAGTATATTTTTAGATATATCATCTTTTTGGTAGAATATGTTTCCTGAAATAACCAGAGAAGTCGATAGGCTTTTGATTTACAGGCTTCCAGGAAATGTCTGTTCTAAAAATCTTGGGTAGAACAAAAAATTCCATACCTTTGAAAGTGTTAGTTTATATACCCATGTTCCTTCACAAACATATATTGATGGTCTGCTATCTAGAATTTGGAATACAGAGTCATATAAGGCATATTGTTTACTCTCAGAATACTTACAGTGCATAGGAAAAACAGAAGTGGATATATTGTCCTAGACCTATCACAACTGGATTGTAACAAGCAAGAACAGAAAGCTGTGGGTAGATAGAAGAAGGAAGCTTAGCCTAGACAACAGAGCTCTGTGGAAAAATTCAAGACTCTGTTGTTTCCCAAAAGAAATGTTAACTGGTCAGAGAGTAACACAAAAAAGCATTAGGGGCAGCATATGCAAATTTCCAGAGCTGAGAGAGAGGTGATGGTAGTTGAGTATGGCCAGAGAAGACAATAGGTGGAAAAGAGGGTATGGGAAATATTGAGACATGAAGCTATAGAGATGAACAGATGCTGCCTACTATGTGCCAGAACTGTGAGATGCTTTCCCATCGTTCATAAATATCTCATGGATAGTGAGGTAATATGGTGACTTATAAAGCCTGTCCAGAGAAAACCTAATTTAGTGTGCCTTGAGAAGGTTCCAGAGGAAAACTGATCTGATCTCTCCCCCTGTTGGCTGCTTGCTACCCCCTTCTTCTGAGACTTCTGCTCAGGCAGTGCTTAGACTGAACACATTGGAGGGAGCACAGGTTGCTAAGTAAAGATTGACCGGTAGGGAGGAAAAACAGTAAATGTGGTGTTGCTTTCAGATACTGGGCAATTAAAAACAAAAATACATTTTTTAAAATTTTACATTGTAAAAGATAATTGTTCACCACTTATTAGTTACAGTGCAACACAATGGTGATAAGGCATACTGTGAAAGACATCATTTTAGCTCATAAAAGATTTTTTATAAGACTAAAATCTGTTGATAAATATATTTTTATAGCTTGTTGCTCATTTGATAGTGTTCTCACTTTTGATTTAATGGAGGGTATAGCCACTATGGAAAACAATATGGAGTTTTCTCAGAAAACTACCTATAGAACTGTGTGATCCAGCAGTGCCACCTCTGGATATATATCCAAGGAAAATGCAGTCACTACCTCAAAGAGATATTTGCACCCCCCTCCATGTTCATTGCAGCAGTTTTCACAGTAGCCAAGAATGGAAACAACCTAAGTATCTGTTTTTGGATGAATGGATAAAGAAAAGTGTGTGTGTGTGTGTGTGTGTGTGTGTGTGTGTGTGTGTAACTAAACACAGGAATATTATTCAGCTATAAAAAAAGGAAATTTTTTTTGTGACAACATGGATGGACCTTGAGGGCAGTATGCTAAGTGAAATAAGTTAGACCAAGAAAGACAAATACATACAGGTGGAATCTAAAAAAGCTGAACTCATAGAAACGGAGTAGAATGGTGGTGTCTGAGGCCAGAGTATGGGGGAAATGGAGAGATGATGGTCAAAAGGTACAAACCTTTAGCTTATATATAAAATGAATAATTTCTGGGATTCTAATGTACAGCATGATAGCTATAATTAACAGTACTGTATTATATATTTAAAAATTGCTAATAGAGTAGGTCTTAAATTTATCACCACACTAAAAAAATGGGTAATTACATGAGGGGATTGAGGTGTTAACTAACCTAATGTGGTAATCATTTTGCAATATATGTGTAGCAAATCGTCACGTTGCATGCCTTAAATAATGTTAAATGTCAACTGTATCTCAACAAAGCTGGGGAAAATGGAATAAAAATGGAGGGATATGTCCATCGACAGATGAATGGATAAAGAAGATGTGGTATATGCAATGGAGTACTACTCAGTCATCAAAAAAATAAAATCTTGCCATTTGCAATGGCGTGGATGGAACTAGCGGGTATTATGCTAAGTGAAATAAGTCAGTCAGAGAAAGACATCATATGATCTCACTCATACGTGGAATTTAAGAAACAAAACAGAGGATCATCGGGGAAGAGAGGAAAAAATAAAACAAGACAAAATCAGAGGAGACAAACTTTTGAGACTCTTAAGCATAGGAAACAAACTGAGGATTGCTGGAGGGGAGGGAGGTGGAGGGATGGGGAAACTGGGTGAAGGACATTAGGGACGGCTTGCAATGTTATGAGCACTGGGTATTATATAAGACTGATGAATCACAGACTTCTACCTCTGAAACTAATAATACAATGAATTAATTGAATTTAAATAAATTGAATTTAAATAAAATTTAAATAAATAGATTCAATTTAAAAAACAAGGCACCAAGTTAAAAAAAAAAAATGGAGGGATATTTCTCAGTAGCAGTCTGCTATACTGTGAACCTAGTGGTGAGCTATAGTATTTTCTTTATGGATGTAGCACAGTGCTACTTTGAGTGCTGGCCTTCAACTACATAAAGGAGTTTGCAGCAGAATATAAATCTAGACACTGCTTCTTTTATCACAAAAGTCTTATTACTAAGGTAGAATGGGGAGAAACAGTTGAACAAAATAATGTGCCCAGTATTGTAGTTGATTCACATACTGATGCAAGCTTTTTGTCTCTTCCTGGCAACAGTTTGCCCAGCTGTCAGTAATCAGATCATACTTTGAGTGGTACTCATATAGCATATGCCCACAGAGAGGTGTTATCCATGTTCCACCATGGTAATACCTGGTGTTACATAGAAGGGGTTAATATCAAAAGACAGTTTTGATTCCTTCATTCCTTCCTGCTCACATGGTAAGTCTAGCACATGAATTTTCCTGAGCATTGTTGATTGCATTTAATTTTTTAAAATTAGGATTTTCTAAATGTATAACTAATAATGTTTTTATTTTTATAAGATTTTTCATACTAAAAATAGGGAAAGTATCCTCTGATTATATGTTATAATTCACATTTTAGAAAATATAGTTACTATCTCTGTATCAATTCATTGTAAAACTGAGTATCATCTGTGTTACTCACATCAGTCACTCTCAGTTCTGCTTAATTTCAGCTTTCAGGTAATCATAACTTAGTTTCTTCCCTGGCATATCAGTTTTGTAACAATAAAGCCTATGGGTAAATGGTCCATCTTTTTGTAAGAATTTTTTATTTACTAAATAACTATAAATAATATGGCTTCGATGTATCTAACAGAGGGTATAATTATTTTCTCTTAGAATTAAAGAGGATCATGTGATTCAGCACGGGCTGGTGGTGGATGGGACCAGCCTGTCTCTTGCACTCAGGGAGCATGAAAAACTATTTATGGAAGTTTGCAGAAATTGTTCCGCTGTATTGTGCTGTCGTATGGCACCACTGCAAAAAGCAAAGGTATGTTTGTGTTATAAAACATTACAGAAAGATATTTAGATCTAAAAGTATTCTTGGGGGTTCCTGGGTGGCTCTTGATCTCTGCTCGGGTCTTGATCTCAGGGTCATCAGTTCAAGCCCCACATTGGGCTCCACGCTGGGTATGGAGCCTATTTTAAAAAAAAAGTGAAGGTATTCTTTAAGGCTAATGCTTTATCTAGTCCTATTTGGTAGTAAGTAGTATATGAATGTTACTAAGTCAGTCACTTCTCATATTTTGAATGTTAACCAAGTGCATTATCAGACCTTTGGAATTTTCAGAGTGAATATTAGTTTCAACTATTCATAATGACCTACAAAGTCTTTGATGGGTATCAGTTTGTGATTTTGCTGAGACACAAATTGAACTATAATACTATAGTTTCATAAGTTATTTAGCTGTGAGAAAGGCTGTTAGACTTCAGTTCTTCCACTTCAGGTGGTTCTCTGCTTATTCCTGCATTCTCTTTGTTAAAAGTGGCTATAAAGTGATGAAACTTTAGTAAAAAGTTGAAAAGTCAGTTCTTGTGATTTAAAGCTATATACAAAAAATATTTAAATTTCAGCTGTGATTCAAGTGAAAGCCTATACAGATATTTTTTATAACTCTTGATTTAAAATTTGGGTCTTATACTGTATCTTTCACAAATATCCTTTGAAATCCACATCTACACACTGCTTGTTTCTCATATGGGTCTAATAAATTAGACATCAACATTTTTTGGCTTAATGGGATTTTGTTAAAATGCCAATATATATTGTTACAATTCATGTACCCCAGTCTGTGGAGACTAAAACTGGAGACCAAACAGAGCTAATACCTAGGTTCTTTAAGTATGTTCAAGAGTTCCAAAGAAACCTTTCTTTTGATTTTATTAAATTTAATCTTGGTTGCTTTTTAAAATTTCTTTAGATTTTATGACAAGAGAAAATAATTATCTTTACTTTAAATGAAAGAATAATTTCCTGAGAAAGAGAAAATTTTGCCTGACAAAGTTTAATTATATGTGTAATTATTTTCTAACACAATTATTATTGAGCTTTTTACACATTTAAGCTGTATTTAAGATTCTTGCTTCCCATCCTAGAATCCAAAGATAATATTCTCTTTTGCTATGACATTTCTGAAAGACATTCCTAACATCTCAGAAAATGAACCCCAGTGCATATTATTGTCTAATACAAAATTAATTTTTTTCATTATTCAACTGTTCTTATAACAGTCATTTCAGATAAATGACTATCTAATATAAGAAAATTGAAATTTTATAATAAATAACTAATTGTATATCTTTCAGGTAATAAGACTGATAAAAATCTCACCTGAGAAACCTATAACATTGGCTGTTGGTGATGGTGCTAATGATGTAAGCATGATACAAGAAGCACATGTCGGCATAGGTGATTAATTTTTTTCCTGAATTTTTTAAAGTTGGTATAATTATTTAGTGATTTTGAATTTTACTTTTGTGGGCAAAAGTGCAATATCAAATATATGAATGCAATGTAGTAATATATCAGTGTATCCCCCTCAGAAGCCCATTATACTTAAGCCCAATACTTAGGATTTTTTTTTTAAGATTGATTGATTGATTGATTGATTTGTCAGAGAGAGATTGAGAGCACAAACAGGGGGAGTGGCAGGCAGAGGGAAAAGCAGGCTCCCTGAGCAAGGAGCCTGATGCGGGACTCGAGCCCAGGACCCTGGGATCATGACCTGAGCCAAAGGCAGACGCTTAACCGGCTGAGCCACCCAGGCATCCCTAGGATACTTTAATTACAAATTTTCAAGGGAATAAATACCATGTTAGTGAATTTTATCTTTGCCAGTTCTCCTTCATAATAAAGTAATTTTATTTTTACTTGCCATTTTGTACCTTTTAAAGTACTTTCTCACATTACTTCATCATTTTTAAACTCTAAATTTGTGGTTTACATAGAACTCCTCATGGTTTCAATTTTTTGTTTTAGAGTGTTATTATTATTTACTCTGTTTTTCAATCTAAAGATTCTGCAACTCATTCTAATGACAATTTTAGAAACAAGAAATTATACTAAACTATAATAATAAATATAAAATTTCAAATAATTTTCTGACAACCTTTATTCTAATTTCTTTTCTATTTTTGCCTAAAATTTTTGTTGGATTTAGATTACTAATATCATTTCATTATGTTTAGCAGTCATTTTATATTTAAACCGTATTCTGACCTGTCTTCCTAAATAACTTTATTTTACAAATAGAGACGCAAAGGTAAAAAGTATGAAGGCTTTTTAATGAAGTAGTTAAAGTTTTAGAGTTAGAAAAGAGGCTTTCCTCTTCTGGAATCACCTCTATAATGTCCTGTGAAGTAGTTCTCAATTCTAATATTTCCAGGGTAGCTCTCAGATCAATTCCTTACTCTGGGCTAATTTAACTCTTCATTATGATAACTAAATTTTCTTTCTAATTTGTATACTGTCATTTCCCATAAATCTCCGTAACAATTTGATAATAATTTCCTATACCATACATTAAAGCATAAAAAGCTACAATATAACAGTTTGATTCTAATCTGGTAACAGACCAGTGAACAGAATAGATTCAAAACATGTGGAAATTTAGTTCATAACAAAGGAGATGTTTCAAATAAGTAGGGAGACATTATTTGATAAAAAAATATTAATAGAACTGGTTTGGTTATTCAGGGAAAAAAAGAAGTTGGATTCCTTTCCATTGCTTATAGCTAAACAAATTCTGTATGGATTAAAGATTTAGAAAAACTTTAAAGAGGGGTGCCTGGGTGGCTGAGCATCCGACTCTTGGTTTCGGCTCAGATCACGATCTCAGGCTCTGTGAGATTGAGCCCCAAACCCTGCGTTCATGCTCAGCAAGGAACCTGCCTGGGATTCTCTTCCTCTCCCTCTGCCCCTCCTCTGCTCACATGCTCTTTCTCTCTCTCAAATAAATAAATAAATCTTTAAAAAAAAATTTGAAGACCACAAAAAGTAGTAGAAGAAAAGATTTAATGAGTAATCTTGTAATTTGAGGTATGGAAGGATCTTTTTAGTAAAAATATCAAAGAAAGCAAGGAAGTAAAGGAAGAGATCAGTATGTTTGGCAGAAGTAAATACCCCCAAATGCAAATTTTAAACATGAAACTAATAAAGAACATTTGCAAAATAGATGCAAAATAATATTTCTAGTATGTGAGGTCTTAACAAGTTAAGGAGTATAAGAAAAACACTTTGGTAAAATATGTGGAAGGATGTAAGTCATCAGTTGTCACAAAAGGAGATACCTAAAATGAATACTAAATGCATGAAAAAAGTGTTCAGTCTCACTAATCAAAAAACACAAGTAAAATTGCCTATGAGATTGGCAAAAAATACAAAAAATGATAAGCCTGGAATTGGCAAAGGTATAGAATTAATGAATCCTTGTATACAATATTAGTGGGAGTGTAAATTGGTATGCCCTGCATTATTATGTATAACAATTTTAAATGTGTGCCTATTGACCTGGCAATTATGCAACCAGGAATTTTTTTTTGAGAAAATAAATGAATATGTTGACAAAAACACAGTATAAGCAATGTCCATAATGTGTTAAATGACAGTAGCAGATTACAAAACAAATAATCTCATTTTGTACACTTGTTTATATATATATTAAACACACACTAAAAAGTGCAGAAGGAAAAATTCTAAAATGATATAGACCAAAAATAGTGGTCTTCTCTAGGTGTTATAAATGTAATTATCTTTATCTATACATTCTGGAAAATTTTAATCCTTTTATGACAAAAATAAAAATTATAATTTTAAAAAATGATTTTTCAAAGCTGTTTGCAGATTGAAAAAACAAACTTGGCAATAACTCTTTTGAAACCTAAAAGATTACTGTAACCTTAAAAATGTAGTCATATTTATCAGATAAAATTATATACTAATTTAAGTGATATTGTACACTTTTAAAAAGCACATTTTGTCCCATCTCAATTAGATAAGAAACAAGTAGGGAGCAATATTGTCACAAACATTTAAAATATATATATAGTTGGCATTTGTTCAGAGTGTGCACATAGACATTTAAATATGGTGAATTGCTATTTCATGTGTAACTTTTTAGGTACAGTTGTGGAAAGATAAAAAGTTATGAGTGTGATAGCTTTTATTAGTGATACAGGAATTTTTAGCAGACCTTACATACAATTTTTGTAAGTCTTTTTGTTTGCTCTATGTTTGTTCCAGTTATATTTATTGAAATAATTTCTTGCCTGTTGAATCCAATAATGAACAAAATCATGGGTTCCTTTTTAAATAAGTTCAATAAATAAAGAGCACATTTTGTTTGACTTGTGTGTGAAAGTTTAAAACCATTAAACATGCTCATTTTTGCTAGGTTCAAATCATTCAGTTTGGATATTTTTTATGTTCATTGGAAATAACAAAGTTAAAGCTGTTTTATAGCATTTCTCTCCATTAGAAATCTGTTAACTAGTACTTTGTGTCTATTAGTGTAAAACGATGTTATTAGATCCTGAACTTTCAATATTATTTTTATATTAATTGTATTTTATTATATCCTGAGTCTTTGAAACTTGATGTTACATGCCTAGTATATATTGTAGCTTTGTATTAATTACCTATTTGATTTAAGTCGAACAGCCTTTTGGGAATCTACTATTTGCTATATATTAGGATATAGTGATCCTAAGTCCAGGTTCAGCTGCTATAGATAATTAAGATATTACAGATAAATTATGAAAATCACACTTAACAGTTATCAGTGAACTTGCCGTTTTGTCTTCTTTATTATAGGAATCATGGGTAAAGAAGGAAGACAAGCTGCAAGAAACAGTGACTATGCAATAGCTAGATTTAAATTCCTCTCCAAATTGCTTTTTGTTCATGGTCATTTTTATTATATTAGAATAGCTACCCTTGTACAGTATTTTTTTTATAAGGTGAGTTTCATGGAGATATTTTACAATCGTTTACTGACATAGTAATACGGGTTTCAATTTAAGATACGTGGTTACCATTCAAATTATTCTTTTAAAAATTGTTTCTATAAGTAAAAATAACAGTTTTGTGGAATATATCAAGATTTTTGTCATAAATCTAATGTTTACTGACAGAAAGCAAATCAGTGGTTGCCTGAGGCCAAGGGTTCAGATGATAGCACCAACTGGAAAGGGATATAAGAGAACTTTGCATGATAGAGAAGTTCTCTGATGTGATTGTGGGGGTGGTTACATGGGTATATACATTTGTCAGCATCAAAATTCACACTTAAAATTGATACATTTTATCCTGTGCAAATTAGAATGTAATTAATTTTATTTCTTTCATGTTATTTTGTCCTGAACCAGTAATAAGTTTTAATTTAAGTCCAATACAGTGGTTTCAAGCAGAGGTTCTTCATCTTTTTTGTGCCATGAATGACCTTTTGGTAGTCTCGTGAGATGTATAAACTACTTATTAAAGGGGCTTTAAATGCATAACGTAAAATACATAGGATTACAAGAAAACTAATGTTGAAATACTGTTTTATCTCTTAACCCTTTTGGGGAAGGTGAACTTCAGTGGAACCCATGTTAGGAGCTCCTGAGTACCAAGACATTTAGTACACCAGAGTATCCTATATTGCATATATTCTATAAATAATAGCTACAACCCAATGAAAGAACACAGGTAGATTGCATATTGCTAATAAATGATGATGGCAGTTTTTCTCTACCTTATTAGCTTTTGCTGCGATATAAGTATATTGAAATGGAAAGACGTTTTCCTAGTTCCATTTATTGTTTTAAATATTTTTTATTTTAAAGCTATGGTAGCCTAAAGTTTAATAAATAAACTATACTTATTGTATTATATATGAAAAGTATTGAATAATAGCTGGAAAGTTGTAAATTCAAAATATGGCATTGCTTAGCAATAAGAGTCCAAGGTGTTTTCATTCTGACATTTGTGATCCTGCTTAGAATTCTTTTAGACATTTTTAAATAATGGGACAAGTTCTTATGAGCAGATCTTCTACTTACCATATCAACTGGAATTGTGTTTCTGGCTCTTTAATAGCTATTTTTAGAAATCTTTTCTCTTTCAGACCCAAATATTTTAATTATTTCCATTTAATCTTGTTTTTCAGAATGTGTGCTTTATCACACCCCAATTTTTATATCAGTTCTACTGTTTGTTTTCTCAACAAGTAAGTAAAGAGAAGCTTTTGATTTATCCTTTTAGAATAAGATACGTGTATTCAGTTTTTGATAGATAGCTGGAGGGATTTTTTTACGTTTTTCCTATTCCTTCAGATAAATAGACAAAACTTGCCTAATTAGTGTATTTGATCAATATAACACTGACAATATTTATTCTAATTTTCAAGTTGAAATGAATGTTAATACCAAAATATATTTAATTCTGGATGCTTTCTAAAAAAAAGATATTAACTCTAAACAGCTTATGAGATAATTTGGGTAACTTTTTTCAACTTATATTTAATATTTCTGTAAACTCTGTATCAAGCCATGTCAGGGTAACTAATAGGGAGATTACCTCATTTATTTTTTGATAGAATTTTTTTGGATTGGGAAGAAAGCTTAGTGACTTTGTCCAGGAATGACATATAAGCTTTATCTCAGAAGCTAATTCTAAATAATGGATAGAGACCACCAGGAATGCTACATTCAAAAAGGTTCTAAAGCTGTAGGCTCAGAGAGAAAACCCTGTAATTGGTTAGTAGTAAGCTATAATGAGCACATGTGGGTCTATGGTTGTACACATGTCACATATTTGCCTTTCCTGATCTACTCTGTCTTATTTTATAGAAAATGAAATTGAAATCCACAGAAATTAACTTGCCCAAGATCACATAGCTAAGTTAATAACTATACCATACTAGAACCTACAGCTTTTGACTAATTGAGCATCCTTTTCACATACCACACTATACATCTCTAATTGATCAAGACTTTTGTTCTAATTAATTGAAATAATAAGAGCTTGGGCGCCTTGGTGGCTCAGTTGGTTAAGCATCTATCTTCAGCTCCGGTCATGATCCCAGGTGCTGGGATCAAGCCCCATGTTGGGCTCCCTGCTCAGAGGGGAGTCTGCTTCTCCCTCTCCCTCTGCCCCTCCCCCTGCTCATGCTCCCTCTCGCTCTCTCTCTCAAATAAATAAAATCTTTAAAAAAAAAAAGAAATTATAGTTTATCTTAGGTTTTTCATGGGTTGTCTCTATCCTTATTCACTGTTTTCACTTCTGTTTACAACCTGTAACTCTAAATTCCAAATATCTGCTTGGGCATTGGAACACGCCTTAAAGGAAATGTAGGACTTAGATAGGAAGACAGAGGTATAAAAGCAAAACTATATGTGTAGCATATCAAAGGAATAATATAAAGCTTAGGATGCATGTAGGAGAATTATGTAAAATTACATCACAGTGACCAAATTGTAAGAATCTTGAAATGTAGCTCCAAGTCACTATAAATATGGATCACTTGACATAACAAAATGTTCCAATTCCCACAAGAATATAAATCTGAATATTATGTTTATGTCTATGTAAGAAGCAAATTGGAATTATTACACACATTGATTTTTGTGTAAATTGAAAAAGCTATATAACTCTAATGCTTATTTTTAATATACTTCTTTATGATCATATACATAACAGTAATACATAGTTTAGAATCTCAAAATTCCTACCAATTTCTCTTTCTAGACACTATATGACAGCGTGTACCTGACTTTATACAATATTTGTTTTACTTCCCTACCTATTCTGATATATAGTCTGTTGGAACAGCATATAGATCCTCATGTATTGCAGAGCAAGCCCACCCTCTATCGGTAAGTATTTTCCAGTATTAAATGTCCATAACACTTTTGATTGCAAATAATATATTACCTAGTTACCAATTTTTGAAAGCACCTTATAAATAAGCAAATATATTAGGTAGCGTCTTGGTGATTAATACTTTACTAAGGCAAGTACTTTAGTTTATGGCTTATAATTGTTGAACATCAAAGAAAAAATTTGAATAACTTTTCTAGTGTTTTTAAGAATGAACACTTTCATAATAGGAATGCATTGGACAATTGTGTAATTTCCATTTACTGTTGAAAACCAGTAATATTCCATCTTATGTGCACAAAAGAAGTTATTCAGTAATTGGTTGTCTCTAAAATTTCTAAAAAATTAGTTCATGTTCTAGCATTGACAAATTAATGAGTCATAATCTGTGCAAAAATGAGGGGTTGAGGACATTAATTCCCATTCCAGTGCTCCAGATCTTCTGGGTTATCCCTGCTTCTTCAGAACCAAGTAAGTAATCCCAGAGTTGTGGAACTATTCCTCGGGACCAGCTAGCTTATGGTTCCCTCATTAACCAGATTTCCACTCTTATAAAGGTATTCAGTCATCCAGAAATGGCAATAAGTCACCTTGATTTCCCAGGATACCTTGGACTGGGCTTGACCTAAGATTAGCACAGGTTGTTCTTCCCATAATAGCTGTTGATGGATATGAAATTGATGAGGAGCCTCAGTGCTGAACCAAATTCAAATGACTCTACTAAAAAGAGAGTCTTCGCAGAGTGAATGTTTACAACAGAACATAATACAAATAGATCAGCTTTTCACACCTAAACCGAATTATTATGCCTATATTATGTTCCTTTCTTAAATGAGAAAAGGTATTTAAATACAATAAGTCAACTGTAAGCTGTTACACAGATGTATATTATTATAAACAATGATTTATAAATTCAGGTTTATTCTTTCTGCTAATATTTTCAAACAATTTTAAATAATATATCCATCTTGTTTTTTAACTATCAAATTGCAATAGTCCGTAGGTAATAAAAATGAATCCTAATATGTTCCTTTTTCTCTTTTTTTTAATATACAGAGACATTAGTAAAAACCGTCAACTAAGCATTAAAACATTTCTTTATTGGACCATCCTGGGTTTCAGTCATGCCTTTATTTTCTTTTTTGGATCCTATTTTCTAATAGGAAAAGATATATCTCTGCTTGGAAATGGCCAGGTAAAATATATCATTTTTTGAAGAATATTTGTTAATAACCTGATTTAGTTTGATTTTTCATAACTTTCATTAAAAAAAGTAAAATTCAATTCAAATTATAAAATTGTAGATATTAAAATGCAATTATAAAAAGATTTCAAATAAAAGTTAAAACAAAGGCAATACAATGTAATCTTAATGTGAGACTCAAGTTACTAAGCAATTTTGATATTCAAAAATTAATTCAGGGATGCCTGGGTGGCTCAGTCAGTTAAGCATCTGACTTTTGGTTTCAGCTCAGGTCATGATCTCAGAGTCATGAGATCATGCCCCACCTCAGGCTCTGTGCTCAGTCAGGAGTCTTCTTAAAGATTCTCTCCCTCTGCCCCTACCCCTACGCACACGCTTTCTCTCTCTCTCTCTCTCTCTCTCTCAAATAAATCTTAAAAAAAAAATTCACACAAGGGGATATACCTCTGAATGCTGTTCACTTCAGGATTGTGTTTTAATAATAATCACTATCTATTTAGTGGTTAATATTTTGCTAAGTGCTTTACATGCTCCATCTCCATTAATCCTCACGATAATTCTGTTGGAGAGAGATTATGACCCATATTTTTCATATGAGAAATGAGGACTTAGTGTTTAGTTTTTGCTTTTAATTATGTGAATTTTTTTTTGTATGCTTAGGAAGTGCTACCTTACTCTTCAGTACATACTAGCAATTCTGAGAATGTTATAAGTTACTATTTAGAATGGCCACTTTTCTGAAATGTGAAATTGAGGAAGAGTGCCACACAGTACCTTGTGACTGTGTCCTGATTGGAGAGCTCATGTTGACTCCTGATGGAATTAGACCTCTCTTTCTAGGCTTAGCTCCATGAGTAAGGAGGAAAGGAAGTGGTAGCAGTGGTACTGTGGTAAACTGGAAATGCTTGTCACCTTTAGTTTACCTTTTCCAGTAACTAAGTATTGCAAAATATATTTTGAGACACAGAGATACAAGATATGCAGTTGGGAGAATATGAAGTTTTATCTGTTTGACAAACGTTTATTGAGGACCAGCCATACCTGTGTATTATACTAGGCTCTGGATGTATGAGATTAACTAACACACTTAGTCATGGAGCTTAGTCTTGTGTGAGATCCAAAAAAATAAGCAAATGAAATAATAACAAAATATAGCAAGCACAATGAAGGAAATGGATTTCAATTGTAAAGAGATTTAAACCATGCAAATCCCTTTAGGATGTAGTGCAGGAACATACATAGTACTGCCACTTCACTTTTGAGGATATTTTTAGCCTGTTTTGGACAAAAATATGATCCTAGTTTGTGTAGCATAGAGATTACAGCACTTCTCAAATACTAACTACCTTTTATTGAGTTTCTTTGTGTCAAATGTATGTGTTTGCTTATTAAATTATAATAACCCTCTGTAAGGAAAATATCATAAATACTTTTTGCATATTAGAAAATTAATCCGAGAGAGGTTAAGAAACTTGCCTCAGGTCACACAATAAGTAAATTACAAGAAAGGAATTCCAGCTCAGTTCTGTGTGACTTCAAAGCCTGTGTGCTTAGCCATGATCCTAAGTTCCTTTGAGAAACAAGTTATTAGCCCAGTGCTTTTCTGCATAATAGTGCCACCTATGCAAGGATGATCAAACTTATAGAAATATGAGTAAGTATGCCCATTTCTACCTGAAATATTGGGGTGAAAACTGAAAGAAAATGAAGAAGGAACATGTCATCCATGAAAGGAAATTAAATTTTTTGTTGCTAGTTACTACTTTTTTCTGATTTTAAAAATAGTATGTGTCCATTATAGTAAATTTGAAATGTATGGGAAAAAATATAAAGAAAATTAAATCACCTGTTGTCTTCCTAATTATAATTATCTCTATGATTTTAACCTGTTTCATCCATCCTCTTTTATTTTTTGCTATTTTCCATTAACCTCACAATTTATATCCCCCTATTTCTCAATGATAGCCTTATAATTACCCCCTATTATAGCCTGAGTGATTTTCCATGTTATTAAAAATGGTTCAAAAATATTTTTCATGGCTGCATAATATTCTATTACATAATTTAAGTATTCCCTTAATTTGAGAACTTATATTTGTTTTTTGTGTTTAGTGACTCTTCTAAAATTAAATCTTGAGCATGCTGTACACAAAAGATAATTTTTTTTTAATTTTATAGAGAGAACCAGGGGGCGGGGGGAGGGGCGGGCAGAGCTGAGGGGGAGAGAGAGAGAGAGAGAATCTCAAGCAGGCTCCATTCCCAGTGCAGAGCCCATTGCTGAGCTTGATCCCAAGACCCTGAGATCATGACCTGAGCCGAAATCAAGAGTCAGATGCTTAACTGACTGAGCCACCCAGGTGTCCCCAAAGATAAAATCTTTATGAAGGTAAACTGTTTGGCCTCCGGTACAAAAGTTCTCTTTAGCACCCGTATTAATTATTGGTTTCCTTTTTTTTTTTAACTCAAATTATAAATCATTAACTTCTTTTCCCTTTTAGCCTACCAGTTCTACCACTCTGATATATACCACTAGAAATTAATCTACTACTCCCTGCCACCAATACTAGGTACAGTGGAAAAGAAGCCCACATTGGAATCAGGTGCATTGGATCCACATCCTGACACCTGAAATTGTTAGAGTGATTTGAGATGAGTTAGTTAACCCTGTCTAAGACTCCATTTCCTCACCCACAAAATTATAAGAGCATAATCCTTACCTTATAGGTTTGCTATGAGGATGAAATGATATATGTAGAGCATTAGGCATAGTGGCTAGCATATAAAAGTACTCAATAAGTCTTGGCACTGTTAGTTATTTTTACCATCCAATCATTATTTGGAAGACCCCATCCTTCCCAATCCCTCCTGATCTACTTCTCCCAGAATCTCTGCTCCTTAAATGTGTCGGCTGTCCTTGCTGGCTCTCTCCAAATGTGCTGCTCTTGTTTCTAGTTCCAAGTCATTGTTACATTTCCTCTAGAGTGTCTTGCCTCTTTTTCCCAAAGTCTCTCTTACGACCACAGTTCTTCAGGGTTGAGCCCATAGAGCATTTGCTACCTCTTAGGTCTTCCTGGTCTGAAAATCTTTTTAGACATCTAGCCCGTGTCCCATTGTTCAGCACTGGATGTGTTGAATGCTTTCTGTTTTCCAGTAATTATTCTTGTATGCCCAAGGAATTTACAAACAGTTGAAAGCCTGAAGTAGAAAATCTTATTACGGGGAAGTGCTGGGAGAGGAGTGGCTCATGGTAAAGATGAAGTTGATGCAAATAAGTGATCCTGAGAGAGGAGCAGGAAAGAGTTGAAATGGTTTGGAGTCCAGGTAGGGTAGGACAGTTCAGGGGAAGTTAAGGTTCTACTCCCATTTTTTTTTTTTTGTATGAGGGTCTAGCAGTATCATAAATATTATAGGTGTGAATTTTCAACAAGTATTTTTGAGGTATTCTCTCATTCTTAATTTGTCTTTAACTTAGGAAAGAACTTCTCATTCTTCATATATTCTCAGATCTTTTTGAGCAGGTCTTCCTTTCCCTTAGTAAAATACAAGAATCCTGATAAATTTTCTCTGAGATTTGGAAAGACTGGAAGAATGTGTATGACATGGCTGAGTATTTGTGTGTGCATCTAAAAAGGTGCTTTCCTATGGGCAGATCTTCAGAGCACCATTTAAAAAAGACATAGTGACTAATTTTTAATTGTTTTTCTTCAAAATAGTAAAAGAATTAAATTCATGTAGAATTTGCCTAGCCTTATGCAGGCTTAAGATACTCATAGTGTTTGGAATATGAGTTAAAACCTGGGGCTTCTCTTAAAATGCAGTAGTGTCATTTTATCACAAATATCAAATATTTGAGCAAAAGTCATAGATTAGTAATTTGGGGAATATATTGTAATCTCATTTTATTTTCAAAGGTAAAAATGAGCTTAACATAAAACTTTAAATAATCTCTGTAATCCAACAGGATCACATTTAAAGAATTTTGACAAAAGGTAACACTTATAAAATATTTGTTAGAGATCTTGATGTTACTTTGTTTTTGACAAAAACTTTAGTTTTATTTTTTTAAGTTTTTATTTTGATTCCAGTTAGTTAACATACAGTATTATCTTAGTTTCTGGGGTACCATATAGTGATTCAACACTTCCATGTTTCACCCAGGGCTCATCACAACAAGTGCACTCCTTAATCCCCATCACCTATTTAACCCATTCTCCCACCCCTCTCCCTTCTGGTAACCATCAGTTTGTTCTCTATAATTAAGAGTCTGTTTCTTGTTTTGTCTCCCTCTCTCTCTTTTTTCCCCTTTGCTTGTTTTGTTTCTTAAATTGCACAAATGAGTGAAATCATGGTAAGTGAAATGAGTCAGTCAGATCTTGATATAACTTAAAAAATTTTTAAGTCCTCCAGGGGCCCGTGGCTGGTCCAGTCAGTAGAGCATGTGACTCTCAATCTCAGGGTCATAAATTCAAGCCCCACATTGGGTGTAGAGATTACTTAAAAATATAAAAAAAATTAAAAATTAAAAAAAATTTTAAGTTCTCCAAAAATAATAGAAAAACTGACTTCCATGAAAGCATTTTCTTAAAAACAGCTTGATTGAGGAACACCTGGGTGGCTCAGTTGGTTAAGCATCTGCCTTCGGCTCAGGTCATAATTGCAGGTTCCTGAGATTGAGTCCCGCATTGGGCTCCTTGCTCCGCGGGGAGCCTGCTTCTCCCTCTGCCTGCCAACCCCCCCACTTGTGCTCCCTCTCTCTCTCTCTGACAAATAAATATGTAAAATCTTTTTTAAAAATAAATAAAAAACAAAAACAGCTTGATTGAGTTGTATTTGATATATAGTAAACTGCACGTATTTAAAAATATATAATTTGAGGGACGCCTGGGTGGCTCAGTTGGTTAAGCATCCAGCTCTTGATTTCAGCTCAGGTCATGATCTCAGGGTCATGAGATTGAGTCCAGCGTCCAGCTCCATGCTGGGTGTGGAGCCTG